ATATATATATATATATATATATATATATATATATATATATATATATATATATATATATATATATTCAAATATATGCTGTATCTGAAATCGCCCCCTCATTCACTATACCCTACATCTATAGTCAACTTGAAGGACTGAATATATATATCCAGTATCGTAGTTCAACATTTACTAATGCATTATTAACATTCAAATGCATGCTTGTTAGCATTAGTTAATGCATTGTGAATTAACATGAATTGACAATGAAACAACTGCATTTTCGATACTAACATTAGCTAACATGAACAAACAATGTACCAAATCTACACAGAAAAAAACACTAATGCATGGAATAACCTTAACTAATACAACCTTATTGTATAATGTACACCATTTTCTTTTCTATGCATTTAAAAATGTATTTTACACTGTTCAATACCAGTGTTCTGCCTGGTGAATCTGATTGCAACATTGACTTTTTCAGTTCTCTTCCATTCAGACCCTCACAGACTATTCTGATGACATAAGCATAATCTTCGATCCCAGGCAGATGCCATATGTGTATGAGAATGTGATGGTAAGTCTGTTTTTCTTACACCTACAGCACTATTCAAATATATGCTGTATCTGAAATCGCCCCCTCATTCACTATACCCCGCATCTATAGTCCACTTGAAGGACTGAATGAAACGAGGGAGTGAACTGGAGCATTTTTCTCTGTGTTTTGCTGGTTGATAAATCTCAGACAGATTCGATTTTAAAGATAGTCATTAGCATTTTATGAGCTGTCTAGTAATGAAATGTCTGTCATGTATAAAAACATTACATTAATTAAACAATTTTTCATTTTGAAACTGTCAGATAGGATTCTGCTATATGGCTGCCATCTAGTGGTCAGGTGGGAAATCATTCAGCAACCTCACAGTGCATTTTGGGTATTTTCTAGCTGTTGAGTGTGCATGGGTTGTACACTCATTAGTAGAGTGCATTGAGGGCACTTCAGTATGTCCACTATAGTTTTATACACCACTATAGAGTCTGCAGATAGAAAATAGCCATTCTTGGCTAATTCTGGCACATTTTACAGGGATGTTCATTAATGTACATTGCCTCTGTAAACAAATAAACTAAACTAGAAGTGGCTGCTCCTTCAAATAGTGCACTATTTAAGAATGTAGGGGGCGATTTCATATACAGACATCGTGTTTGGTGTCCTGTCACAAATCCAGTTATGCTTGTAGTGACCAGTCAGTGATCAGCAGTTTGTATACATCCTGTTTTAGTAACAGGAACCTACCCAGTTGTAGTGCTAAAATAAGTACCAGGAACTAGCTATTAAATACAATGAAAAAAGCCACCAAAAGCGAGCCGTACTGACCTGATCTGAACCATGTGGGTTATACAGTGGAACAAGCAACTCTAGATAGCATTGCTATAGTAGACCACTTCAGTTTAACACATTATCTTCCTCTTTCTCCTGGTTCACATGATTTCTTCTCTTTTCATGAAGGATGTTCATCCCTGCACAGACAGTCATGATCCTAAGATGACCATTCATCTGTATGAGAACCTTGCAGTTTATGGAAATGTTGCTGTGAGTGTCCAGATTTTCAGTACTGTTGTCTGCCAACACCACTGTGGTATTTAAATGCATGTTGTTTTTGTGTCTCATTACTGGCTCAGATTAACAGGAACATGCCTTAGTGGATGATCTCTGAGTGGGCGGAGCTCTGGATGATTGACAGGACTGTCTCATAATGCTTTACTGGAGAACTTTGGTGGGAAAAACATGGCATTTGATGGACTGGGAAGAATAGGCTTGTTGTTGGCTAACTATGTCATCATGAAATGTTATATTATTGCTTCCTGTCTGTTAATTGTTTTATTTTAATTGTTTAAAGCATGAGTATAAAGTTTTAAGTGTAGTGCCTCAGTGTATAGATAAGTGTGTGGGGTTTATTTCAAAGCGAAAACAAAATATTGGCTTACTCCATTGGCAGATTATTTAGCTTGTTTTACGGAAAAAAAACTCACTTAGTTTTGAATGATTATTTCTTTGCAGATATTTAGCTTGTGTTTTTAGCGGTGTAGGCATGGAAAATATTTACTAAAAGCCGTCTAAAAGCTTAAATAATAAATACTAAGTGTATTTGAGTACACGGTGTTCACCATGACAACAATATTATGCATATTTGTGTAACTGGCATGTTCAGTGTAACTCTTGTGATGTCCCTTGGCATCTCTCCATCACCAACACAATCTCACGGCAACTCGTAACTTTTTGATTTAGTGGGTAATTCATATGAATTCGTACGATCTAATTCGTACAATTTAGTACGATTTGCTCATCCCCCAATGACGGTTGGGGTTAGGGGTGGGGTTAGGTGCCACGCCATTTTTAAATTGTATCATTTCGTATGACTAAAATCGTACAAATTTGTACGAATTAGCCACTAAACTGGCAAAACGTAAAATACTTACGTTTTCTCGTGAGATCAGGCTGACGTCACCTATGAAAATCAAATAAGTGAACAGCCAACTTTATTCAATTCGATTCACCTTTATTAGGCCATGTCCACACTAATGCGTTTTAATTTGAAAAGGCATATTTTTGTCTCCGTTTTGACCTTCCGTCCACACTGAGACGCGTTTTTAGAAAACAAAACGTATCTTTTTGAAAACGCTCTCCAAAGTGGATAAATGTGAAAACGACGTTTTTGTGTCGTAGTGTAGACTGTAAAAAACGGAGTCTCTCCAAAACGATGACGCGTTTTTTTTGTCATGTGACAGTCAGTCATGTTACTAATTTGCTTACTTTAATTTCGTTGTGATTATGATTTTAGTGATGTCGTCCTTACTGTGAGGGTAAGCAGCGTCATCAGCAGGATACTGTTCTTTAAAGCGGTCCAGTATATTGGCGTATTTGTTTTGGCACGTCTCCCAGTCTACATTTTCACTCTCTTTTGCAACTTTGTATTCATGTGTTACTCGAAGCAGCAACTCTACTTCATTGTCAGTCCATTTAAAAAACTCTGTGCTTTTCCTTGACATTTTGCCGCAACGTTTCAAATAGCCGGAAAGAAAATAAACGTCAGGCGGAAATGACGTGTGCCGAAGCGTCTTACATTTCACGCATACGCAGTACAGGTTGAAAGCATTTGTAGGCTTTCAGTGTGGATGACAAAGTTTGGGAAAACGAATAGAAACGAATGAAGCGTTTTTAGAGGAAAACTCCGTTTTTAAATTTATCCGCATTAGTGTAGACATGGCCTTAGAATTGCACTTTTACAATGTAGATTGTGTCTGATCAGCTTCACATAGAAGATCATAGTAAATGTAAACTGTGTCAGTTCAGTTTTCAGAGTTTAAGTTCAGTTTAGTTTAGTTCAGTGTGGTTTAATAATCAGTACTGAGAGTCCAAACACTGAAAAGCAAATCCATCGATGCGCAGCTCTACAGATCCCGAACCATGCAAGCCAGAGGCGACAGCGACGTGTAAAAAAAACTTCACCGATTGGGAAAGTGAAGAATTAAAAAAAAACTCAAGACAAACCAGGCTCAGTTGGACACGACCATTTCATCTATGGCCAAACATCTTGTGCAGAGCTGCAGTCAAGGCGAGGAGGCTGGAAGCTGGACTTTAGCGAAGACTTGTATGTCCCTGGAGCGTCACAGTAATCAGTCTCATGCTCTCCACTCCTCTATGACCACCACAGCAGCTGCTCAGGATACGGCCTGGTCCAAGATATGGAAACCTTGTGATCATCTCGTCGCTGGTTTTGGATCGAACCAGTGGTGCTGCATAGTCTGAGGGACTCGGGATGAGTATCCCCAGGTGGAAATAGAGAATAAAGAGAATAATTAGTGTAGCTGCTGTTCATAGCTCTTCTGCTAAAAGGAAGACAGCTGAGGCTGGAAGTTAGCAAAAATTATTTCAAGAGTTCCCACTTAGATATGCTTGGCATTTAAAGAAGGTTTGGCATGCTGTCCCGGGAGAGAACCCTGAGCTCGGAGACATTTGAGCTCAGGGCTCCCACCTGGTCACTAAGCATATCAGGGGACCCAAGGTCTTGATAGCTCCCCCTGTAGAAAAAGGGGGGAAAAGGAGGAGATGGGGTGGAAGGGGGGATTCTTCCAAAATGTAGATTGTAAGGAGAAAATGATCCGTTTATAATAAGCTAGGATCACTCTGATTGGATTGTTGATGTTTGTCTGAGAGCGAGTAGTTTGACCATTCTCTGTCATATTTATTCTGAGTAATTTCTTCCATAGGCGGCTGATTCAAAAGATAAACAATTACAAAACAATCACAAAAAATAAACACGCTTCAGCGCATTGCAGAATACGGTCAATAGGATACCACAGTAATAGTTTTGAAGCAATTATTTCCATTGACTATCTAGAATAGCTTCACTGTCGTATATAGTTATTCCTGCAATAGATCCAGTATAAACATTCATAAATTTGAAAACATTACAAGATGACATCTGTGGACTGATATAAACTCGCTCATTTTAACCTTTAGCCTACAGTAAGTTTTGACAATGCGCTAAATAAATAAACCCACATAGCACTTCTGCTTTATCTGCAGTATTTAAGGCATCAAGTGTGTCCAACCTTTGGTACAGAGCAGGTAAGAGCATGATTTAACAATATTTAACTGAATTCATTACTATCTGGTATACTGTTCTTTGGGTTATATGGGACACATGGGCTATAGCTGTCATATAAGAGCACTGGTTGCTTGATTCTATCTCATAAACTAAATTATTTATGTTAAAGTCTAAATAACTCAGATTTGTATTGTCATAATTAGTGTTTATTTATTTGTGCAAAAAGCATAATCATAATCCTCCTTAAATTCATACTAAATTACATTGAATAGGCGGATTCTTCTCAGAACACAAACTGACGTGCACATGTTGTCACAAAAACATGTTAAATTCTGTACTAACTGTAAAAATATTCAATAAATAGACTTGTATACTCACTTCTTTAAACCTGATGAGGTAAAACAGCACATAAACTATCATTTGGTACATAACATGGTTTCAATTTCAGTTAAGGATAAGAAATGTAACACTTAAAATTGGGACCCCCTCGAAAATGAGATCTGAAGGGGCTATCCCATTTAATAAATTCAATTCAAATTGTTTTTAATTCATTACTAACATTTGTGATCACTAATAGTTTAAAGGGGACCTATTATCCCCATTTTACAAGATTTAAAATAAGCCTCGTCTCCAGAGTGTGCATGTGAAGTTTCAACCTAAAATACCCCACAAATTATGTTTTATAACGCTCTGACCCTTTTAGACTTTGATCTTTGATTTTATCAAGTGTGTGGTTATAAAAAATACAAATAATAAGAATATACTATTAGATGCTGGTAATATTCATAGGCTGTTGCCACACAACCGTGTTTAAATTCTTTATAAAAGGGATTTTTTCATAATAGATCCCCTTAAAGACCTAGAGATATTTTGTGTTATTTATTTTAAAAGCAGTTTTATTTTAATTTTAGCAGTCAGCCTCAAGTGACATATATTATTTTAAACAGGAGAGCCTGAAGCTTCAATCTGTATCATTTAAAGGTCCAGTCTAAAATATTTTTTGGTCCAAAAACTTATGAACAAACAGAAAATATTTCAGAATTTTCCAGAAACGGTTTTTAAAAAAGTGGCATTTTCTAGTTATTACAAACAAAACCTTATGAAGTTTGTTTTTGTTTTTCTTTAGAAATACATGCTGTGATGTTTTATACTTCCAAGAAATTGTTTTCCTTATAAAGCCCGCAAAAAATTAGTAGAGAGTACATTTCTGTCTGTAATGGATTATGGTGATCATCTCTATATGCACGCAACCGCTACCCTATTAAGAAAATTAGATTCTGTTTATCACGCAGCAATACGTTTTGTCACAGGTGCAGATTCACGGACGCATCACTGTATTTTGTATGATTCCTTAGACTGGTTATCTCTATATCAAAGGAGAAAATTACATCTGTACTTATTTATCTTAAAGGGTCTTTTAGGTAAATTACCATCCTATATTTTTAATTTATTAACATTTCACACCAACAATCAACATACTAAATCTGGTTCATGTATTCGTCTGATAGTTCCAAGGGCACTATCAGAACTTGGCAAACGTGCTTTTTCCGTTCACGCTCCCAGGGCTTGGAATGACCTGCAAAATCAGCTCAATCTTGACACTCTTCCGACTCTGAGTACTTTTAAACATCTTTTATACAACATTTTAAAGGACACCTGCAATTGTTTGTTATGAGCTGATGTTTTTAAGAATGGTGATTTTGTAATTTTGTGGTATTGTTTGTGATTTTTATATGAACCTTTATGTGCTGCCTGCCATCTTGACCAGGTCTCACTGGAAGAAGAGACAGTACTGTCTCAATGTGATCTCCTGGCTAAATAAAGGAAATAAATAAATAAATAAATAAATACTTCCAAAATAAATTTTGTCTACATCCACCTTTCCCTGAGCAAGTTATAGCAGTTTATTTCAATGTTATTCCAAGGCGTTTTTCAATGGGGAAAAAAATGCATTTATTTACTGACAATGAATTTGCCCAAAAGTTCTGGGAATGAACTAAACAGAAAAAAAATGTTACAAAATAACAGAACACTGAAGCAAATTTGACTTTTTCTAAATAATATATTTTCAGTTACCATAAACAACACCACTTACAATGAACAAATAAAAAATAAATAATGCGTCAAAGTCCAAATAAACATGGTACAAATCCTCAGTAAAAAAAATTAAATATAAAAATTTCCTATACTATAGTTACATAACTAAACTAGATTCAATATGGACCATCCTTAGGTTTTATGTGCCAGCATGGATATGGTTGTCTGTGGATATGGATTTGGTTGTCTGCAATGCAAATAAACAGCCGCACCTTCATTTGCGTCCTTTGAAAACAGCAAGGCCAGCACTTCGTCTTTGCTGTGTCACTGTTTTGTCATGTTTTTGTGCTGTAGTGCATACAAATGTACTTAGTATGAGAAATTTTTTTTTTCGTTTTATTTAGCCGTGCATAAATGTACAGCCAATGTCTCGTTCCAGGTTGTTCAAAAAGCTGACTGTTTGTCCACAAAGCGAAACTTATGCTTATTGGTTGAGAGAGAGCGAGTTTGAACCAATCTGTGCATGGTGGAGGGACAATGCATCAATGTATCATGTCTGGTTTGTCCGAAGACACAAGCCACGAGCGTTCCTTTGTCAAATCAGCGTTGTCAAAATTTGATGATGTAACCACACTGATTCCGGAGCCTGTGAAGCTTGGTGAATGTAATGTGTTAAAGCTGAGATTCTCTACTTTATGGCAATCTTTGAATTGTACGGATCGGATCGGCGGATCAAAAGTTATTAAACAATTATAAACAATACTTATTTTTAGCCGCGGGCGGCTGTCTCGGTCTTTAAGGGTTTTTTAAAGCAAATTTTATAAAATGTTAACTTGGTTTAAATAGTGTGTATTACCATTTATTTGCAGTGTTTATTTGTTCTTTTGTGTTTAAATGGTCTCTGCTGCTGAAGACTAGACCCTGTGGTTAAATAAAAGTCGTAAGGATTCAGTGTTGCAGGTCAATGACAGACAGTGCACATCAATACACTGATAGTCTTTTACCACAGTACGTGCATGCAGGGCCGTGCACAGGGGTGGCCCGGTGGCTAGAGCCACTGCCCCTCTGCCCTCATTGGCTGAGGTGCCCCTCTCAACCTGTACCCCCTCCCTCCCCCTCCGTGCCCACGCCCCTGGCTGTTCATCATCCATCTCCGTCTTCACTTGACACGCGGTCTTCCCCCTCGGTATTTGCTTTGTGATTTCACCCAATCTTTCTTTAAGTTTTTGAAAAATTTATTTGAGCTGTAATAAGTGTTGAAAACTGTGTGTGTGTCTGTTTTGTAGTTGTTGCAATGGTGATGTCGGTCAGTATGAGTCCTCCTCTTCCTCTGATCTTCCTGCTCATGATTCACAGTGAGTCACTACTGTTCGACTGGTACATTCTACTAAATTCTGTATTAGACTTTTCTCAAACATCCATTTTTGTGTTTCAGTGGTTTCTAGTGCTGATTGGGCTGTGACTTACAGTTCTTCACACATCTGTGCACTAAAAGACTCATCAGTGATAATGAGCTGCACTTTTAAATACCCTACTGGACATCAGATCATGAAAGTGTTCTGGAACAAAGACTTTGTAGAACATCGAGACGAGCTTGCAGATCTGTCTGAGCACCCTGAATACAGTCAGAGGCTTCAGTATCTGGGAGATAAACAGCAGAACTGCACCGTCAAACTGAGTCTTGTGACAAAGAAAGATGAACACATGTATTATTTCAGATTCATTACTGATCAACCTGGTGGGAAATGGGCTGGTTATCCAGGAGTGCGTCTCTCTGTCACAGGTGACTCTCCTGAGGTTTCTCTCTTATTGTGGTCATTATGTAGAATAATAATCAGTGTATGAGAGCAGCACTAGATATAGGGCTCAATTTTGACAATCCATGCGCAAAGTGCAAAGTGCAGGGTGCAAACGCTTTCAGGTTTTGTCAGAATCCACTTTTGCTATTTTAAGGACGGAAAAATCTGCTTTGCGCCATGGCGCATGGTCTAACAGGGTTGTGCTTATTCTCTTAATGAGTTTTAGATGTGTTTTGAGCATAAACCAATCAGAGTCTCATCTCCCATTCCCTTTAAGAGTCAATTGCTTTGCGCCATGGCACATTTGGTATTTACATGACCGACTTTGTAAGTGGAAAAACTGAGCACTTCACTAGCAAGAAAACAGTTTAACAGAGCATCTGCAGCGTGAGGATAAAGAATGAGCCTCTTTGTTCTTTACTTTTACTTTCACTCTCGTGGATGAGGAAACTTCTTGTATGCACAGACATTCATTAGCCTATACATAATTTATTTTGTTTGTTAAGCGCTTAGATTTGTTTCAAAACTATTTCTAAATTCAGTTCTAATTTCCAGCAAACGAATAAATGAACAATAATAATGAAGTGTGTTCAGAAAACTGAGTTATATCCTAAAACACATGCTGTGCCTCATATGGTCTAAAACCTGAAAGGTGGGCAAATCTAAGCTTGTTTTTAATAAAACAAATATAAATATGGATATAATAAATAATACTGCTAATAATAATAACATTATACAAACGCAAATTGTTATGAATAAACTGAAAAAAAGCCCCTGGAGATGAAGAAGGCATGAAAGTTTGGTTTTTATATTTATGTAGGCTAGAAAATAATATGTTTTGTAATATTTTAATCCTTATATTTATATCCTATATATATTCTTGTTATATCCTATATATATCCTTAATATTTGAATTATTTTTTATATGTAAATATATTTGTGTATTGCTGTACATCCTATGTGTATTAAGCAGTGTGTAAGCGAGGTGCACAACTAACACGCTCTGCGCAGGACTTTAGACCGACTTTGCTCTGGTCTATTGAAAAATCTATTAAAGTTTCTCAAAATAGCAACACGTCAGCAGTGCGCCTCAACACGCCTCCTTTTTTAGACCAGAACGCCTATAATTGCTATTTAAACAGCGTGGCTCAAAACGACACTTGCGCCAAGCTGAAGCTAGCAAACAACAATTGCGTCGCGATTTGCGCCACATTGTGTCGGGTTTGTGATAGAGCCCATAATGTGTGTGTTGTGTTCAGATCTTCAGCTGGAGTCTCCTGAGAGAGTGACAGAGGGAGATTCAGTCCGTCTGACATGTAGGAGCAGCTGTAATCTGACTGACACACCAACATTCATCTGGTACAGAAACTCAGAGAGAATGATTGAGAGAAGCAGTGAACTCCTGCTGCATTCAGTCAGAAGAGAAGATGCAGGCAGATATAGATGTGCTGTACATGGACACACACTCACATCACCTGAGATCTATCTCAATGTCATGTGTGAGTAGATTTTTTGTAGTTCTTTTTAAATATTTCTCTAATTTATCTAAGGAAAACTTTATTATGTCTGTTTTAGATCCTCCAAAGAGCGTCTCAGTGTCCATCAGTGGATCTGCTGTAATAGTGTCTGGAGATTCAGTGACTCTGAACTGCAGCAGTGACTCAAACCCTCCTGCAGAAATCAGCTGGTTTAAAGGAGAAACATCTGTAGGATCTGGAAGAATCTTCAACATCTCCAAGATCAGCTCTGGTGACAGTGGAGAATACAAGTGTAGAGCCAGAAATGCACTAGGAGAGAAATACTCTGATCCTGTGACTTTAGATGTGCAGTGTGAGTTTATGTTCATTTGTACAGTTCACTGTTTCTAATAAAAAGAAAAACTATAATATTTATCTATAATAAGTTGTAAATTTTGTCTGTTTTAGACCCGCCAATGAACGTCTCAGTGTCCATCAGTGGATCTGCTGTAATAATGTCTGGACATTCAGTGACTCTGAGCTGCAGCAGTGACTCAAACCCTCCTGCACAAATCAGCTGGTTTAAAGGAGAAACACTTGTAGGATTTGGAAGAATCTTCAGCATCTCCAAGATCAGATGTAGAGCCAGAAATGTGCATGGAGAGAAATACTCTGATCCTGTGACTTTAGATTAATAAACCTTCAATAATAGGAGCTAACACTCTTCGGGGTTAGTTTGAGAGTCAAACAAAAGTCTACTGACTGAAACCTAAATAACAGTTAGGCTTTTACTTTTCCCTTTATTAAGGCTCCTCAAAATGACTTATGACTGTAAAATCATTAGCTGAGAAAACCTGCAAGTACACATCCTATTCTTCTTCCCTCTAGTCCAGGTGTGGGCAAACTTGATCCTGGAGGGCCGGTGTCCTGCATAGTTTAGCTCCAACCCTATTCAAACAGACCTAGAGTTCAAGTGATCTTGAAGACACTGATTAGTTTGTTCAGGTGTGTTTGACTAGTGACTAGTGTACACCGGCCCTCGAGGATCAAGTTTGCCCATACCTGCTAATGTCTATATGTTCTTGGTGTTATTTTATCCACATTGTGATTAATAATATATTAACTGTTTATTTTTTATCACAAAGACGCTGCAGTGCATCTGATAGTGGGTGGAGACCTGAATGACTGACAGGAGCGTCAGGATGTGATTTAAAAGAAGCAATAAAAAATATTCACAGACTAGTCTATATCAGTCTGCTATAACGATAGACTGGGCGTTAAAGAGGGGGAAAACACGAGCATTACAAGCATTATCATGATGGACTCATTCAGTAGCGAACTTTTCGTGGAAAAAAAACAAATGACTACCTTTTTTTTTAGCTGCCGCCATCCTCACTTGTGTGTGTCGCCCCAGGCTCATCCTGATTTTGCCAAGTGCTAGTTGCCCGGAGACCAACATTTTTTATGATGACCCCGGGACAACAACTCCACCAGCCAATCAAATGTCATGACGTCATCATTATGTGCCCCTCTGCAAAGCCTTTGCAAAGTATTTTTCAGAATTAACCAACCAAAAATGCCAGTATATTTAATCAGGTTTGTAATGCTCATATTCAGTCGCTAAGATTGACTAAGATGTGCTTCAGGTGACCAAGTTAGCGTTATGGGTTTCCCGATTGTAATATAAACATTTTAATCTCCATCACTGTAAGAAAATCTCTGGCTTTACTTCGACTGACTTCCTCTTCCTGTTAGGTGTGATGTCACTCAGTGGCTGTGTCCGAAACCGCATACTTCCATACTATACAGTACGCTAAAAACAGTATGCGAGCCGAGTAGTATGTCCAAATTCCTAGAATTCGAAAATCAGTATGCGAGAAGTACCCGAATAACTCACTACTTCAGGCGAAAATCTGAAGTACGCATCCCATGCATGCTGCACTATCCCATATCCCCGCGAGAGAATTCATGAATGGAACTGAAGCGACATAATGTATTATGTAATGGTAAATGTATTACGTCCGAATTCCATTCATACTTTTCACTTTCATACTGTATAGAACGTACTTTTCTAACAGCCGAGTAGTGTGTTTAAGTTCAAATGCAGTACCTACTGAGTAGTAGGCGGTTTCGGATGCAGCCATTAGGTGCATTCGACATGAAGCACAGCTGCAGCCAGTGATCAACGAGATTAGCCGAGTGCAGGCGGGGGCGGAGTTGAAAACAGAGCCGTCAAGCCGGGCAGCTGGACACTTCGGGGCTCAAAGTTGCTGCAGTCATGATGACCGATCACACTGCGTCATCATAATTTTTTATTTTTTTATTTATAACGACAAAAAATTTACAAATAAAACAAAATACAGTCTCTACGAACTATAGTTCCTTTTTAAACAATAAGGGAGAATTATGAATAAAATATATAACAAATGCATGAGAGAAATAAGAAGAAATGAGAGGTTAATATAAACATAAAAACGAACCGGTCTATTAAATACAAAGCAATAAGCATGAATTCTAGGAGTTTAAACATCACTGTTTAGGCTAATACTTCTTGTTTGAATATGCTAAAAGGGGGTTTACATATATGTACATTTATAGATATAAAACTTTCCAATGTAACACAAAACAATGTGATTTGATTAGGTCTTAATAAATCAGATTATTTTGGATAATGAAAGCATTTTCAAAAAAAGCACTTTAATCCAAAAAGATTGAACAAAAGGTAAAATAAGTGAGCTACAGATTAAGTAGATGTTTCCCAGAAAGAGCAGGTATAAACGGCTAGAAAGGAAATAAAATATATATTTATAATATAATCATTAAATCATTTTATAATTATTTAATAAAATAGTTCTTTAACTTAATTTGTTAAGAAAGCTTTAGAGTGTCAGGATCAATGATGATGATTATTTTTTTCAAGTCTGTAAGACCTATTTGAGTTCATATTTAGGTTATTCACTAAAATAGATCATTAAATCGTCCGTGGAGCTGGATGCAGGAAATAGTCTGTACAAAAAAGTTGAAAATAAACCTGTGCAAATAGGCCAGCCTTTATAACCAGATTATTTAACAAAAGATGATTACTGCAGTAAAATATTTGTAGTCTTTTATAAGCAAGATGTGTGCAGGATAGAGAGGGTGTGAAAAGTGAATTGTTTGTTTGGAAACTTTTGAATCGGAATTTGTTCAATAATAAACCCGAAATACACGTGTTTGTTGTCATGTGGTGAACTCGGCCAATCGTGTAATATCGGTGTCGTCATCAGAGCTCCTGCAGTCGCTCTTCAGATGCTGCACGGTCTGAGTCGGCCGTCTGATCTCGGAGCGCTGTCGCGGTACTTTGATGCCACATGTGACAGACACGTGGCGTCGGCGCAGCATCAATCCGGACAAGATTTCTAATCAGCATGCACCGCTTTAAGACAGATTTTGATCGATCTGCGCAGCGCTGCATGAAGCCGAACGCACCTAGTGTCTCTCCATCACTCATGAGGGTCACATGATCACACATTCAACCAGAGCACAAAGCTCCTGTTAAAGATAAGTGGAAATAGTTTTGCAGTTACATCTCCAAGATAAAACCCCACTGAGAGTATAAACAGCTATTAATCAATCAATGCATTGGAAGATTTTACACAGATGGTCCAGCAGCTCTCAAACCAGAACCTTTTTTAAAGTTACTGTTCTCTGTCAGGAACAGGTTGTCATGATGCACTTATAGATGCACTATAAATCTTCATAGCGCTTCTGCTTTATATGTGAGGTGTCAAAACCTCAAGGACGACAATCAGATGACATTTAAAAACAGGGTGTTGATCACATGTCATTGAGAATGTGTGAAGGCCACGACTGGTTTCATCCAGATCATTTTTACAGCTACGTATCACTGGTTGTGGGTGTTGGTGAAATGGGTAAGAGCATCATTTTAATTTTATAAAATGTTTATATGAAAAATATTTCAATATTTATAATATTCCAGATTGAAATCTGATATGTTGGGTTTTCAGGGCTTTACATTATGTTTTTTGATCACCAGTCACTGTGGCTAGTAGATTTCCAACATTACTAGCCTCTTGCCATTTTCACTAGCCACAATTTTATTGTTTGGAAAATATATTTTATATTAATAAATGTGACTTTGACAAGCTAAAATGACTTGATTTAGATGTTGTGTTGTCTACATGCCTCCTGATTCATTTCACTGTTTGTGTGTGTTGTGTGTGAGCTTGCTCACTGTGCATGAGCAAATGGGTTGTGTTGCATTGCAATTGGTTTTTATTTCGCATGACTTTTTAGGGCTCAGAATAAAGGTTTTACCAAACTCACCTCTAACCACATTAAAAAGAAATAATTATTTCTTAGCCTCGTATTTAAATGTCAAAACAAGCAAATATATAGCCGTATACATGCACTTTTTAATCAACAAAACTTTTCTTTTTTTTTTTTTTTAATTAACATTTAAAAAGATCTATTGTCATGTATCTAAAATATGCACAGTAATCTGTCCTGGCTAAAGGTGAGTGTTGGTGAAACAGATAAAGGGCGTCATTTTATAATGTTTTACTGAAATTAGATATCTTGGGTTTTACGGGATACTGGGGCTATTAGTTCAGTGGATGATTTTTTGTTTTCTCTGGTAATGGTTTTATATGTCCAATGCCAACAGTGCACCAAAATGCTTTTTAACTTGTTAATAGCTATCTACATAACAAATACATATAATATCCAAGTGTATAAAGTATGATTCTGTACAGAAAGTTTATGTATAGACACAAAAGAAATATTAGCTGGAATAAATGTGTTACAATCCCCAGTTGAACACAGTGTTGGAAAGAGTACTGAAAAAAATTTTTTAAAAAAAGTAAAAGTACCATTGCTTGCTTAAAAATGTAGTGCAAGTAGAGTAAAAGTATCTGTTGTAAATATTACTCAAAGTAGGAGTAAAAAGTAGAGCTTTCAAAAGTACTCATGAGTAGTGAGTACGATGTGAAAAGCTGATGCGTTTACATCTAATTTGTGGATGTGTGTAAATGTAACGTTCTATAGTGCATTTGGTTTTTCCGAGCAGACACACAACATCCTTAATATTAGGTTAGATTTAGGTCGTGACGTCAGGTGACCAAAATTCAATGTCTAGCCAGTGTCTAAGGACAGCCTTATTATGATCACCAATAGCAACGTCAAATGACATTGATATTTGGTTGATTTTTTTTTAGGTTGTGTTGGAAAGTGACCAAAATCTAACTTCCAGCCAACATCTTAACTCATACTGACAATATCCAACGTCTGATAGACGTCATATTGGTAACATCCACACAACGTCACACTGTAACATCATTAGACATTGATATTTGGTTGATTTTAGGTTGGACATTGACGTCGGCCTAATGTTGAGTTCTGACGTCAATCTGATTTTCATTTCCAAACAAAGAGCTACGTCTCCACAACGTTGAGGTACAACGTCAATCTGACGTCATGTTGACGTATTGTGCCTGCTGGTTGTTTAAGGCCATTTCGGTCATCGTACTGTTAACATCCGTCATCTTCTCATCAGTGACATGCATCTAAACAGTCACTGTGTGTGACGATTTTGGACATCTTCTTGGACATTTTTGATGCTTCCAGTTTGCTGCAATTATAATGCGTCCATGTCTTTACATTTACATTTAGTCATTTAGCAGACGCTTTTATCCAAAGCGACTTACAAATGAGGACAAGGAAGCAATTTACACAACTAAGAGCAACAATGAATAAGTGCTGTAGGCAAGTTTCAGGTCTGTAAAGTCTAAGAAGGGAAGTATTAGTAATATTAGTATTTTTTTTTTTTTTTGTACAGTTAGTGTGATACCCAGAGAGGCAATTGCAGATTAGGAAGTGAAGTGGAGACTAAATAGTTGAGTTTTTAGTGGTTTCTTGAAAGTAGCGAGTGACTCTGCTGTTCTGATGCAGTTAGGGAGTTCATTCCACCAACTGGGCAGATTGAACGCGAGAGTTCGCGAAAGTGATTTCTTCCCTCTTTGGGATGGAACCACGAGGCGACGTTCATTCACAGAACGCAAGTTTCTGGAGGGCACATAGATCTGCAGAAGTGAGAGCAGATAAGAAGGAGCAAAGCCAGAAGTCACTTTGTAGGCAAACATCAGAGCTTTGAATTTGATGCGAGCAGCAACTGGCAGCCAGTGCAAACGGACTAGCAGCGGAGTGACATGTGCTCGTTTAGGTTCTTGTCTTGAGGTAGTTCATTATAATGCGATTTACCTTCTATGTGTGATTTGATTGAACAGGAATTACAGGACAGATTTTTCAAATCCCCATGACAAGAAAAAATAAAGTAGTGACTGCAGGTTGAAGGAAAGTAGTGGAGTAAAAGTACATATACAGCACTAAAAATATACTCAAGTTAAAGTACACATTTATAAAACTACTTAGTAAATTCCTGAGAAAAACTACTTAAATGCAGTAGTTTAGGTATTGGTAATTTGTTCATTTACATCACTGAACATACTGTATATACATTGATGAGCTAGAACAAGATACAGATTCACACTTTATTTGTCACATACAGAGTCATACATAGTATGATATTCAGTGAAGTGCTTAAAGGGCCATGAAACCCCCTCGTTTCAGCAGGGTGTTTTCACACCTCTACTTTGGAAAAAGTCAGAAAAGTGGGTGTGTCCAGCTCTGTTTAGGGGGGAGTGTCGGAGGAAGAAAAGAGGCTTGGTGTGGGAGTGTCTATTTGGGCACGCTGAATTTCAGAGTCAAAACACACAACCACAGCGGACAATGTGACTGTTTACATGGACATCTGTTGTCGAATTATTTGCCAAATTATTAAATGGTGGACTTTAACTGCAGTTTGGCTCTTTCATTCAGGGAATTCATTCATGCCCCTCCCAACAAACGAGATATTTGATTCGAGAAACTGCTCTAAGCGTGTATTTTTCATGCAATGTTTGATACCGCACGGCGAATGAGAGAAAAAAAACCTCAGCATTTCCCAGAAACTTAGATGCACACGGCGTGTTATTCCGGTCACTAAATCCAACACGAGGTTATAGTTTGGTTGTAACTGTTAGTGCTAACTTGTTTACACTGGTGCAATAGTTTGTTTGATACGAATAAAATACGAACTGAATAAAAAAAAGAGCACTGGTCGCTTACCAAATCTGTAGAGACAGGACAATCACCAGCAACTAGAGCCGCGTCTTTATTAAGAGGAGGCTACAAGCGAATCCGGTTCTCAGCGTTTGCAGATGAGAACAGCTCTCAGGTAAACAATGTTCCTCCTTAGACACGTAAGTTATTGTTGTCGAGCGTCGCGTACACTGTTAATCCACACGTGACTCCAGCTGAGCTCTCACAGAGAGAAAATGAAAACAAAACTTAACGGCAGCAAACTATAAAAGCAACACTTCACGCTTGTTTTGCCAACACAACGTGGCGTCTCTGCCGTCTACACTCTGACAGCAATGAATATTAATGAAGTTGCACAATAGAGCACGCTGATTGGTTTGAACCAAGCCTTACTCATGCATTAATGTATCACACTGTAAGACGTAATAAGACACACTCTGGCACAGACGTCCAGTCTGCACGCTGGAATACACGCTATTATGTCATGACCGTGACGCAGCTTCAAAAATTCGTTTCAAACCGGAAGTACGAATTTGCTTGAAATAACGCAAAAACAACCAATTTACACTTTTTAGTGAAATATAGGTGTCCTAATAGTGTTTTTAGCAGTGTGGGACACATATACCACTGTCAACAGCTCAAAAAATGTGTTTTGGTGTTTCATGACCCTTTAAACAACTGCTCGTGACCTTGAAATAGTAACAAAAATAACAAAATTAAAAATAAAAAAACAATAGAATCTAAACATTGGTGAAATAAAAGATTTTTACTGGAAAATAAAAGCAAATATAAAATATTTAAGACTTAATATAGAGTATGTGGCTGTAGAAAAAAGTGCAAGGTATAAAAATACACTAAAGAGCTATCTGTGCAAACAGAAGCATGGAAGTTGTTCTAACAAAGTGCCTGAGGCATAAGAGAGTTGGGAGTGTATCCTATTGGTGTTTTTTACACTAGAACTACAGAATATATGCCCAGGTGTGTGCCATGTACATAAATGTCTAAGAGTGTCCAGTGGGTGTTCGAAGTAGATGTGTGTGCAGATGTCCAATGTTCATAAATGTCCGTAAAATGTGTAATGTGCAAAAGAAAGTGTTTCAATCCTGTGTGTTGCCCTGATTGATAGACCATATGGCTTGCAGGAAGAAGCTTCTCCTTAGTCTCTCCGTGTTGGCCTTCAGTGCACAAAAGTGTTTTCCTGAGCACAACAGAGAGAACAGAACTTTCACAATCTTCCTGGCTTTCGTCTGGCACAGTTTGAGTGCAGGTAGTCAGCTCGGTGCGGACGGTACCCTCAGCTGACCACACCACCCTCTGTAGGGCTTATCTGTTCTGCATGATGCTGTTCCCAAACCAGATAGTGATGTTTCCCTTCCCATCTGGATGCTCTCCATGGTAATTGAGTAAACGTTCCTCAGCACCCAGTCTGAAGTCTCTCAGGCATCTGAGGTGGTAGAGATGCTGTTGTGCCTTTTTCACCATGGTGTTAATGTGACAGGACCATGACAGCTCCTGCGTGATGTAAACATTAAAGGAACAGAAGCTGTCCACTTGTTCCACTGGGCTCTTGTTGATAACGGGGGTCAGGTAAATCCTCTCCTGCTTCCTACTGAAGTCCACTATCAGCTTCTTAGTCTTGCTGATGTTTAGGAGGAGGTTCCCAGGAAGCAAACGATTCTGACACAGATTTGGCATTAATTTGGCACAGCAGGCATTCATTCGGCCCTGGCATAAAGCATGTACTTGGGCCAGATGTCAATAATTGATATGTGGGTCATGTACATTTGGCCCATCTTGACCCACTTTATATTACGTTTTCAAGAGTTCACACTTAGCTGATGATTGATAATAAGGCTAGTTTGGCGTGCTGTCCCGGGAGAGAGCCCTGAGCTTAAAAGATCCTCGAGCCCTGGGCTCCCTCCCGTTGCAAGGCGAGAGGGGAGTTTGAGCTCAGGTAGATCTTGATGACTCCCACCTTGCTTGTTGTAGCTAAGTGTCGGATATGGATGCTGAAAGGTGTACTCAGAGTTTAGCTAATGTATTTTGATTAATTGTTTAGAGTGCTTGTTTTTTAACTGTGGGAGGAAACCGGAGGACCCGGGGGAAAACCCACGCGACCACGGGGAGAACGAGCAAACTCCGCACAGAAATGCCGTCTGGTTTGGAAAGGAATTAAACCAGGGGCATTCTTGCTGTGAGGCAACAGCGCTAATCGCTGGCCACTGTGACGCCCGTTTAAAAGGAGGGAAAATAGGGTTGGGTGGGGGGGTTTCTTCAAGACGAAGATATTGAGATGAGAAAAGTCTGGTTATTTATAGTGAGTTAAGGATCGTCTGATAGGACGCCTAATAGCACGCCTCGACCCATAGCAAGCCTAAAGCGCAATGATTGACGGTTTTATCAATTTTGATGCAGTGGTGACACACCAACATATCTTGCCCCAGTTAAGGCTCAGTGATAGGTTATTAACTTGACGGAGACTTGGCCCAGATATGGTCCATATTTGGCCCTTGTCTGGACTTGGTCCAGTCATGTACCGTAATTCACTGCGGCATATGGGCCAAGCAAAAGCTGAATGAGTGGGCCAGATATATTTTTTGCTATGTGGGTTGCTTCTCTGGCACCAGTCCTCCAGATTTCCAATCTCCTTCAGGTAGGCTGTGTCCTTGTCAGAGATCGGTTCTCGTTATTGTGTTAAACACAGATGAAATGGTTGGGAATAAAATCTCAGTAACCTAAGGGTCAAATTACAATTGCAAGGTGACTTCTGTGAATAAACAAGGCTTGTAGAATAATTATATTCAGGAGAGAATTTATCAACAGGTCAGAGCAAAGTCAAACACAAACTGCCGGCTCATTGATACACAAAGGCAAAGAAAGCTACACCATCTGGTCTGAGCCTACCGGTCATCTAATAAAGTTATATTGATGGTAATGAGAGAAATGTGTCTTCATCATTCCTGCAAACAAAAGCAGAGCTGCAGACCAATCAGAAGGCCTATGGGGGCATGTTAATGCATGCTAATACATATTAACAGTGTTCCACTGCCTAAGATAGGCTGTCAATCAAAATATGGCTGGGAAAGATTGAATACTTAAAAAATTATGCAGTGCAAGAAATACTACATTGCTGTATTCTACTTGAATAATTAACATTTTAAACAAAGAGACATAATTTTGAAAAACATAATTGTGAGTGAAAACTGTGTGTGTTTTAGGTGTTGCTGTGGTGATGTTGGTGAGAATGGCTCCTCCCCTTCCTCTGATCTTCCTACTCATGATTCACAGTGAGTCACTACCGTTTTACGAGTACATTCTACTAAATTCTGTATTATACAGTTCTCAGACATACATTTTTTATGTTCCAGTGGTTTCTAGTGCTGATTGGGGTGTGAATTACAGTTCTTTACACATCTGTGCAGTAAAAGATTCCTCAGTGATAATAAGCTGCACTTATAAATATCCTACTGTACATCAGTTGATGAAAGTGTTCTGGACCAAAGACCCTGTAAAGGGAGCAGAGTTTCTAGATCTGTCGGAGGATCCTGAATACAGTCAGAGGCTTCAGTATCTGGGAGATAAACAGCAGAACTGCACCGTCAGACTGAGTCATGTGACAGAGAAAGATAAACATGAGTATTACTTCAGAATCATTACAGATGTAAGGGAAGAAAGATGGATTGGTAAACCAGGAGTGATTCTCTCAGTCACAGGTGACTCTCCTGAGGTTTCTCTCTTCTTGTGGTCATTATGTAGAATAATAATCAGTGTATGAGAGCAGCACTAGATATAATGTGTGTGTTGTGTTCAGATCTTCAGCTGGAGTCTCCTGAGAGAGTGACAGAGGGAGATTCAGTCCATCTGACATGTAGAAGCAGCTGTAATCTGACTGACACACCAACATTCATCTGGTACAGAAACTCACACACATTGACTAAAGAAATGATTGGAGACAAACTCATCCTGGACCCAGTCAGAAGAGAAGACGCAGGCAGATATAGATGTGCTGTACATGGACACACACTCACATCACCTGAGGTCTATCTCAATGTCACCTGTGAGCACAGATTTGTTCATTCTTTTTAACTATTTCTAGAATTTATCTTCATAATCATATTTGATTTTATCCTTTTTAGATCCGCCAAGGAACGTCTCAGTGTCCACCAATTATTCTGGTCAGCTTTGGTTAAATTCAGTGAGTCTGATGTGCATCAGTGACTCAAACCCTCCTGCTCTGAGCTTCAGCTGGTTTGAGGAGAATCAAAGCTCAGCTGTTGGATCTGGACAGAGTTTCAGTGCAGTACAGAGTGGACGCTTCTACTGTGAGGCTCACAATCCACATGGAGCTCAGAGATCAGACGCCGTCACTGTCACTGTTAAAGGTAAAGCAGCTCATTTACTCTTTTAAAGAGATGGACTTGCACAGTTTCTGATGTTTTACTCTTTTGTTTGTTGTAGGACCTCGAGAGCTATTCTACATCTGCTTTGGGGTGGTTTGTGGAGCTGCGGTTTTCATCACAATGGGGATCATTTGGTAAGATGTGTGTAACACTGTTAATAAACCAGATCTCATCACATTAAAATAGCAGTGGTCAGTCCTATTAATCCCACTGGTTAAATGATGAATGTATTAAACATTGAGCTTCTGATTGGCTGTTAATGTGTGAAATCATTGACTTTAAAGGGGAATCAGGAGGATGAAGGAGAGAAAAGCCAAACAACAGGTCAGAAAACAGGTTTGATCATCAGTAATTTACTCATCAGATTCTAGTTGTGACTTGATGAGTTGTGTAAAGGTATTATTTTCTCTCTGTTTTGTTTTTTATCTCTTTCATGGTGAAGCTGGATTGTTCCAGACGTCAGGATGACAAGCGTAAAGCTTGTGATGTTGATCAGCCTGTGTATGAGAATGCAACGGTAAGGGTTTTAGCTGATTATATATAGACTAAACTCTCTGCAACTTATAGATCAAGGAATTAAACACTCCTTAATGCTAGTGTTAAATATCAAATGTCTATTGGTTGATTATATAGAAACTGGTTGTCTTTGTCTCTTCATGAAGGCTCTTCAAAACGGCTCTGACCACTGTAAACCTGAACTGGACTCTTCTGTCTATGAAAACCTTCCAGTAAGTTAAAAAACAGACGAGATACAGAAAATTAATTAGCCTGAAGGTTCTTTGATAATTTAGTTAAAACTGTAATTAATAATTAATTTACTTTTGCTTTCCTTCAGAATAACTAGAGGACACATTGTAGCATTCCAGAAGCACAGCAAACATTTCGCCGCCTTTATGAATCTCTTTGTGTTTCATTGCCTTTAGTGTGGGACTGTCAGTCATTAAGGACAGGGCTTTTAGTCATTTAGGGTGTCTCATTTCTGCTCAGCCATTCTCCATTCATCAGTCTTCCTTCATTTTTGATGGCCACAGCCATATCACCCTGCTACCCAAGAGCGGTTACTCTCTGCAGCTAAGCAGAGCTGAGCTTGGTTGTTCCTGGATGTGAGGCCACATGGGAACACTTGGTCGCTGTTGAAAGTGGTGTTAGTGAGGCCAGCAGGGGGCGTTCAACCTGCAATTGGTGAGAGTCCTAATACCCCAGTATAGTGAAGGGGACACTACACTGTCAGTGGGTGCCATCTTTCGGATGAGACGTTAAACTGAGGTCCTGACTCTCTGTGCTCAATCCCATGGCACTTCTCATAAAGAGTAGGGGTGTAACCCTCGTGTTCTGGCCATATTCCCTCTCTCGACCCTTAATCATCATGGCCTCCCAATCATCCCTATCTACTGAATTGTCTGTATCTCTGTCTTTCCACTCCCCCTATAGCTGGTGTGTGGTGAGCGCACTGGTGCTGTTGTCCTGTGGCTGCTGTCGCATCATCCAAGTGGATGCTGCACACTGGTGGTGGTGTGGAAAGAGCCCTCTCATGATCATGAAGCGCTTTGGGTTTATGGCCATATGTGATAAATGCGCTATATAAATACACACATTACATTTACAATGTCCATCTTCCAACAATCCAATCGGTTCCCAAAGGACAAAATCACACACCGGCCTACATTTTTATAATTCCAGGACCATTTCAAGAGGAAATATGTTTGAGATGGAAGAAAAGATCAGACGATGGGACAGTTTTCATTTTTTATGCAGACTTTAACAATCCACAATCTCAAAGTAAACTCTTTTTTTTATCTGCTTTATGAAGTGTGAACTAAAAACATTGCCTATCACAAATAACCTGTAACAATGTTGACGTAAATTTCACTTCTATCTTATACTGTGGGCAGATTAATTCTAGAAATAATGCTCTGTTTATGTGTTAAGTACCTAATAAAAATGTAAATTGGAATGAACTGAAGTACTGTATTATTTAAAATATGATAATTGTATGCAAAGTAAAAGTAGTCATGCTTTAAGAATCGTAAAATTGCACTTTACTAAAGTATTTGCGAGATTATCCAACTAAAGTTTCCAGTATATTTTATCAGCTAGTGATTCTCTTTTGTTTGGCACTACTTTTTTATTCTCATATGTTTGGCACTACTTTTTGGTTTGATTGTAAAGAATAGATTTACTAAAGCTGCTCTGACATTCCCATACTGTCAACTCCCCAATAACTAATGTTTCTTATGCTCAGACAACATTAAAACAGCATTATCTTCAGGTTTATAATGCTCATGTTCAGTCCTGAATGCAAGTTTCCGATCTGCATTGGGAGCTCTACCAACTGCTGATGTAACGGAGGCCAGCTAGTGTGTGCTGTGCAGGGAAACCTTACTCCTCTGACCTCTAAAGGTGTTCTAGCGACAGATGCTTGAGGTGATGGTCTTTAACCTCCTTGGTAGAGCAACTGACTCCCATGCGGAAGTTCGCCGCTTCGATCCCAGCCCGAAGCGGGTTGGGTGGTGTAGAACCGGCGGGGTTACACTGATTGGCTCTTTAATTTAAAGGCAGGACTTATGTGACTAAAGACGCCATTTTGGGTTTGTAGAGAGGCCTCCAGCTTTATTCTGCTTGGCTTCCCCTTCATGTTAGGTGTGATGTCACTCAGAGTCTCAGTCGTTCATGAGGGTCACATTATGTCTTCAACCACAGAGCAATGCAAAGGTTCACACATTTGAGCTTTTCACGTTTCTCAATTGAGAACAAAATGTATTTTGGTAAACTGTATTTGTGACAATTTTTATTGAGAAGTTACACTTCCTAAAAAAAAGACACAGAGATTATAAATATCTATTAATCAATCAATGCATTGAAAGCTTATGAAATGCCTAGTTTTTTTTACTGCAATAATGATAAAGGGGATTTAAGTGACTTTGAACGTAGCATGGTTGTTAGTGCCAGACAGGCTGGTTTGAGTATTTCAGAAACTGCTGATCTACTGAGATTTTCACGCACAACCATCTTTAGGGTTAACAGAGAATGATCTGAAAAAGAGGAAATATCCAGTGAGCGGCAGTTCTGTGGGCGCAAATGCCTTGTTGATGCCAGAAGTCAGAGGAGAATGGCCAGACTGGTTCCAGCTGATAGAAAGGCAACAGTAACTCAAATAAGCACTCGTTACAACTGAGGTCTGCAGAAGAGCATCTCTGAACACACAACATGGCCAACCTTGAGGCGGACGGGCTACAGCAGCAGAAGAGCACACCGGGTGCCGCTCCTGTCAGTTAAGAACAGGAAACTGAGGCTACAATTCACACAGACTCACCAAAACTGGACAATAGAAGATTGGAGAAACGTTGCTGCTCTGATGAGGGGGCTGCTCTGTTAAGGGGTTGGTGGGCTGGTTGACGATGGCGAACGGAAGGGGGCACTTGATATCATTTTGGAAGGGCTCTTTATATCCAAGAGAAAAAAGGGCAAGGCTGAGCTCTAACTGTGCATGTGCCTGGTAAGGTGTACCTAATAAAGTGGCTGAAGAGTGTATATATATATAAACAGTCTGAAAGCATTATAAAATAAGAATCCCTACAGGCTCATATAAAGCTTCTGTCATTCATAACCTTTAGCATATTGTTATTTCTATGATGACGCACTTAATAAACTTTCTGAGCACTTCTGCATTAGCTGCACTATTTAAGATGTCAAAACCACATGTTAAAATATAGAGTGTTAATCACGTGTCATTGACAATGTGTGAAGGCAAGTACTGGTCTCATCTAGTTCACTTTACTGCTATAACTGGTCATGGGTGTTGGGGAAATGGGTAAGAGCATTGTTCAATAATATTTTACTGTTTTAGGGTTTATGGGGCTAGTTGTTCAGTGGATTAGTTTTCGTTGTGCCTGGTAATGGTTATGTATGTTTGTGACTAAAGTGTAATTGAGTATGCTGTTTAATTTAATGCATAATAGCTTTCGAAATAACAAAAGCAGACTTCTAATATTCAAGATTTTGGGGTAAAGTGAGTCTGTGCACTCACTGGGTTTTTTCTTCGCTGGGAATGTACGTTTTTCTGATGTGAGAGTTGGTTTGTTTTGGGGCAAGCGAAGGTATCCTCGTCTATGCCGTGCAAAAGTTCATTAAAAATGAAGGTTGAAGAGTTAAAGGCTTCCTGGCCTTCTTTAGACTGTTACACTGGTGTCAGGAGTGAACTGTTGCATCATCTTGCTTGCTTTTGTCCTGCAATGCAATGTGGCAGCAGACTGAAGAAGAGGTCAAGTCCAAACCTAAAGACTATGTTTGTTCACTTTGCTCTGAGGGAGGGGAGCAGTGTAGCGTGCTAGAAGAGTTTAAACTAAAGTTTCTGAGTTATATTTTGGTGTGTGATAATGTGGGGTTTTGAGGTAAAGCAGGTCTGAGCACTCATCAGGGTTCTTTTCCACGTTCATGTATGTTTTTTCGGATCCGAGAGTTGGTTTGTTTGTGGGCGTGTGAAAGTATCCTCATCTAGGCTGTGCAAAAGGTCATTAAAAGAGAAGTTTGACCCGTCAAATGAGAGAACAGTCTGATGAGAGAGTTGGTTTTGTTTTAGCCAAGTAAAGGTATCCTTGTCTATGCCGTGCTAAAGTTCATTTATGGTTACGGATCAAGAGCTAAAAGCTTCCTGACCTTTTTCAGACTGTTACACTGGTGTCAGAAGTAAACCACTGCAAAGTCTTTTCTTGTTTTTGTCCTGCAATGTGCAGACCCAAGAGGAGATCATATTCAAGACTGTGTTGGTTCCTTCGAGGTACAGGTTTTGGGGTAAAGCGAGTGTAATGAAGTTTACGGCCCTTTGGCCGCCGGGAAGAAGGAGGCGGAGAACCGACGGAGTTTTAAAATGATTTATTAATAATAATGACGGCAGCTCCTCACGGAGACTGCCATTTAAATCAAAACAAACGGACGGCAGCTCCTCGCGGAGACTGCCGTCAAACTGAAAGCAAAAGTAAAATAACATGCCCGGGCACGGTCCTCTCTCGGCTTCCTCTGCCATCGGTCCTCCTCTTATGGTCCAGAGCTCCTTCCGTGGGATCCGAGGCAGGTGCGCACCGCACGTGTATCCACTCACGCGGTGGCCTCACCCCGTTCCCACGGCTCTCGGCCACGCCCCCTCGCCACATACCCCCATCTCCCATCACAGGCCGGGGGCACCCCGTGGCTGTGCATATCCCGGGGGGGGGGGTTTGGCGCCACAGCACCCGCGAGACCTATATGAGACGGGCCGAGAGAAAAGGAGATGGAAAAAAAAAGGAGGAAAGACAGAGTAGACCGAGAAAGGGGAGAGAGGAAAAAGAAAAAAAAAATTGGGGTTCGGTTCTCCAGACACGCTGCCACTCGGTCCTCCACCAGCTGAGAGATGCGACAACGTGCTGGGAGCCCTGTGGAGGAATCTATCCACCCGTCCGTCTTTTGCGTCCGGCGGCGGTTCTCCTGGCTGGCTGGCGGCATTTCTGGTCTCCTGCTCCGCTCCCGCTTCGGTGGATGGATGCAGGCTCTGGCATCATGGCGGATCGCGGCGACTCCCCCGGGTTCTGTGGGATGGCTCCCTTTCAGCTCTTTCCCTTCCGGTGGTGAGCACCGCGTCCCCTGCTCCTCCCCATGCTGGGAGACGGCAGCAGGCAGATCCTTTCCTCGCCAGCCTCAGGCCGCCCCGGCACTCTGGGCAGACGAACGGGTTTCTCCCCCACTCGGGTTAACTCCCGAACACTCGCCCCCTCTCTCAGCGGCGAGGGCATCTGGACAACGCGTCCCTCCTTCTCCCGGGCTTCGGCACCACTGTAATGAAGTTTACGGCCCTTTGGCCGCCGGGAAGAAGAAGGCGGAGAACCGACGGAGTTTTAAAATGATTTATTAATAATAATGACATTTAAATCAAAACAAACGGACGGCAGCTCCTCGCGGAGACTGCCGTCAAACTGAAAGCAAAAGTAAAATAACATGCCCGGGCCCGGTCCTCTCTCGGCTTCCTCTGCCATCGGTCCTCCTCTTATGGTCCAGAGCTCCTTCCGTGGGATCGAGGCAGGTGCGCACCGCACGTGTATCCACTCACGCGGTGGCCTCACCCCGTTCCCATGGCTCTCGGCCACGCCCCCTCGCCACAGCGAGTCTGTGCACTCGGCAGGATTTTTTTTCCCAAGTAATGTGATTTTATAATCCGAGAGTTGGCTTGTTTTCAGGCATGTAGAGGTATTCTCGTCTACACTTTGCAAAAGTTTATTAAAAGAAGAGTTTAAACAATCAAATGCTTCCTGACCCTCATTCAACTGCTACAATATTAATGACGAGAAAGATTTGTTGTTGTTGAGATTTGTGAAATTTGAGACTTGTTCTGTTATGTTGGGATCTGAAAGGGTTTTCGTGTCTAGGTTTTTTGTTAACATTGTGCTGAAGAGTAGATCCTGTGGTGCGGCTAAATACTGGATAAAGACTTCTGAGTAGGTGTAGTCACACTAGGCCAGGGGTGCTCAACCCTGTCCTTGGAGATCTACCTTCCTGCAGAGTTCAGCTCAAACCCAAATCAAACACAACTAAACCAACTAAGCTGAATCTAAATTAGCACTTGGTAATAAAACACGGATATGTTTGATCAAGGTTGCAGCTGAACTCTGCAGGAAGGTAGATCTCCAGGACCAGGGTTGAACACCCCTGAACTGGGCAATCGGAAGTGTGCCCAAGTGCATTTGTCTATGCTAGCGCATTTGACTAGTCTGAGTGCTACTGCCTGGCTCTGGCCTTGTTGGAAAAGGGTGGGCTACAGCATGGTGCAGTTGGACTCGGAAGCTGTAGATATTTAGTGTGACTGGACAACGTGCCATAATTCCCTAATATACAAACCCAGATAACTACTTTATTTCAAGCTTAAGAATCATGAACCGAGATTTAAAAATATATATATTATATATTTATAACTCTGCAATAAGCCACTATGCTTGTGTTGTAGGTGTCGCTATGGTAATGTCAATCAGAATGACTCCTCCCCTTCCTCTGATCTTCCTTCTCATTGTTCACGGTAAGCCATTACTGTTTCAGTGACTATACTTTTTTGTGGCAAAGGGGAAACGTGACGGCTGAGTAAAGATCCAATTTCATCTTTAACAAGCATGGTCAAACAGGCAGGGGTCGAATGTCAGCATAGACAACAACAGAGATATTCCAAGAACGCAATCTGTTAAACAGGCCAATAATTAACACAATTGGCAAACAAAAATCAAAAGAAACCGTCCAAAGGTCAGAAACAAGGGCAAGGTTAAACCAAGGGAAAACACTTTGAAATGCATTAACTTCAATTTCAGTTTTATTTATAATGCACCTTAAAACAACAAAGTTGACCAAAGTGCTAACAATGAAGGGTGTGACAATGCATAACATATACTTTAAAATAAATACAAATTAATGAACATTAAATGTCAACATCACACATTGTGCTAAAGGCCAAATTAAAGAGGTGGGCTTTAAAAAGAGATTTAAAAAGGGTAATAGAAGAGGCTTGTCTAATGTGCAGATCCAGCCCATTCCACAATTTAGGTGCTGCCACAGCAAAAGCGCAGTCCCCTCTCATCAACAGCTAATGCCGAGTTCAGACTGCATGTTTTTTAAAGTAGTCACGTCACAGATGTTTTCACACTGCATGACTATCTGGGCTAGCGTTTCGTCGCTGCTTTGTTTACATTGCAAGATGAATCGGCGACAGGGACTTTCACATTGCATGACTTTACTATAGGAAGAATCGCCGATAACTTCATCCAAACTACGTCTCACAGCCAAAAACACGTCGTATATCTTTTGTTATTAACTACATAATGAGAAAGAAGCCTTTAATGGGGTAGAACATGTACATATTTGCTCACCTGGGTTTAAAGGGAATTAGCCATTTCTCCTCAACGTTGATAATAAACTCATTTCTTTCTGTATGAAACATCAAACAGACACGGTCCTGTCGAATCTTCACTAGTTTTTCCTCCATTTCATGGGTCCAAATAAACCGAAAAAGAGCGCTTTTAACTTCTCCCCCAGCCTCCCGCTGACCTGCAGCAGGTATACACACACATACACAAGTGAAAGCTGCTCTCTCATTGGCTGTAGGTGATCGCTTATGTTATTTTCAGTCAAAACTCAATTTACACAGCATGATTTGAATCGCCGACAGCTCCAGATATCGACTCATCGGCGATTCTCTCAGATCGCGTCTTTGAAAGTTCATGCAGTGTGATTGTCACTCGCGTGCACGAACAGCGATTTGCCTGAGATTTCAGGCATTTGTCTGCGATTTCTCAAAACCTGTCAGCGAGCCAAAATCGGGGCTAAAATCACAGTTTGAATAAGGCATAAGGCTGGGCATACACTGTGCAACTTCTTTGTGATTTCTCACACACTATGTGTATGAAACCAACACATAACACCCATTACTTCTTTTTTAATTTCATGGTGGTTGGCAAACCAGTATGTGGTGTATTTATGCCACCAATAGGAAGGAGTGTATGGCTCAGTGGAAAGAAAGAATTAAAAATTTTGCTCTGATTAAACTGCAATTCCCTAACGAGGGGTCAGAAAGACTTCTGAAATGCCAGAAAACAATCCGTTTGGGAGAGTTGATTTGCCTCTCCGTCCCTCCTGTACACTGCATGAACACAACTGATGCATGACAAAGCTGAAATTCATTCATTCATTCATTTTCTTGTCGGCTTAGTCCCTTTATTAATCCGGGGTCGCCATAGCGGAATAAACCGTCAACTAATCCAGCAAGTTTTACGCAGTGGATGCCCTTCCAGCCGCAACCCATCTCTGGGAAACATCCACACACACATTCACACACACACTCATACACTACGGACAATTTAGCCTACCCAATTCACCTGTACCGCATGTCTTTGGACTGTGGGGGAAACCGGAGCACCCGGAGGAAACCCACGCAAAGGCAGGGAGAACATGCAAACTCCACACAGAAACGCCAACTGAGCCGAGGTTCGAACCAGCAACCCAGCGACCTTCTCGCTGTGAGGCGACAGCACTACCTACTGCACTACTGCCTTGCCATAGCTGAAATTCAGTCAAATTCAAGGAAGAGTCACACAAGATAGCATTAAGCCTAAAATTGGACTAAAAATCGCACAGTGCATTCCCAGCTAAACCCGACTCAGCCGTGGACGATTGAGAGAGTGGTGTATGTGTAGTCCATGCAGGGGCACCGCTACGCCAGGGTAATTTAGAATGATTCTAAGAGACCTAGATCTCCAACCTCCGGCACATAGACTGCAGCTCTGCACCAGAAGTTTGTCCAGAGAAGAAATGGTCATGCCTAACTGAGCCTGGTTTCTCCTCAGGTTTTTTTCCCTTCACTTTTGGCTACTAGTGAAGTTTTGTTCCTAGCCACTGTCTCCACTAGCTGGCTTGGTTTGGGACTTGTTGAGGTGTGCATCGATGGATTTGCTCTTCAGTGTTTGGACTTTCAGCAATGAAAATTAAACCACACTGAACTGAACTAAACTAAACGTCAAGTCTGAAAACTGGACTGGCACACTTTCAGTTTAATAGAACTTCTATGTGAAGCTGCTTTGACACAATCTAGATTTCTAGACAGAAATAAACATGAAATGAATTGAGACCTGCTTTATTAGTATTAAAAATATTAGCATGGGTCCCAACCTCTTTTATAGTGCCATGCTTTAATGTTAAGTCCATGTTATACGTGTTAATATTCTACAACTATGTGTGATAAAAAGGTGAACTGAATCTGGTGTGTGGTTGCAAGGCATGATGGTACGTGTAGTCCATGAGAGTAATATAAGTAGTGCTCTGACAAAAGTATTATGCTTTCTTCAATCATAAACAACTTTTGGAGTTCTGTGTTTCAGGAGGTTCAAGTACTGAATGGAATGTTAAATACAGTCCTTCACACATCTGTGCACTGAAGAACTCATCAGTGACAATGAGCTGCACTTATACATACCCTGCTGGACATCAGATCAAGAATGTGTTTTGGACCAAAACGACAGATAAAAGGGATGATGAAGAGTTTCCAGATCTGTCTGTGGACCCTGAATACAGTCAGAGGCTTCAGTATCTGGGAGATAATCAGCAGAACTGCACCGTCAGACTGAGTCATGTGACAAAGGAAGATGAACGCATGTATTATTTCAGATTCATTACTGATAAAAATGGCAAATGGATTGGTAAAATTGGAGTGCGTCTCTCTGTCACAGGTGACTCTCCTGAGGTTTCTCTCTTCTTGTGGTCATAATGTAGAATAATAATTAGTGTATGAGAGCAGCACTAGATATAATGTGTGTGTTGTGTTCAGATCTTCAGCTGGAGTCTCCTGAGAGAGTGACAGAGGGAGATTCAGTCCGTCTGACATGTAGAAGCAGCTGTAAACTGACTGACACACCAACATTCATCTGGTACAGAAACTCACAGAGATTGACTGAGAAAACTATTGAAAAACTCATCCTTGATCCAGTGAGAAGAGAAGATGCAGGCAGATATAGATGTGCTGTACATGGACACACACTCACATCACCTGACATAAATCTTAATGTCACCTGTGAGTGCAAATTTGTTAGTTCTTTATAAGCATTTCTAAAACTTATCTTCAGAAACATATTTGATTTTGTCATTTTCAGACCCACCCAGGAACGTCTCAGTGTCCATTAATGGATCTGCTGAAATAGTGTCTGGAGATTCAGTGGGTCTGATGTGCATCAGTGACTCAAACCCTCCTGCTCTGAACTTCAGCTGGTTTGAGGAGAATCAAAGCTCAGCTGTTGGATCTGGACAGAGTTTCAGTGCAGTACAGAGTGGACGCTTCTACTGTGAGGCTCACAATCCACATGGAGCTCAGAGATCAGACGCAGTCACTGTCACTGTTAAAGGTAAAGCAGCTCATTTACTCTTTTAAAGAGATGGACTTTAATAATTTCAGATGTTTCACTCTTTTGTCTGTTGTAGGTCCTCCAGTGCTATTCTACATCTCCATTGGGGTGGTTTGTGGAGCTGCGGTTTTCATCACAAAGGGGATCATTTGGTAAGATGTGTGGCTCAATGTAATGAGAAACTCTGAAATTCACAGGAATAATACTGAATATAATCCAGATCTCATCACATTAAAATGGCAGTGGTCAGTCCTATAAATCCCACTGTTTAAATGATGAACGTATTAAATATTGAGCTTCTGATTGGCTGTTAACGTGTGAAATGATTGACTTTAAAGGGGAATCAGGAGGATGAAGGAGAGAAAAGCCAAACAACAGGTCAGAAAACAGGTTTAGTTATTAGTAATTTACTCATCTATCATACACTCATTCTGAAAGCGTACAGTAGTCCCATATACGTTTCTGGAGATCACAAATCATGTAGCTAGATGTATGTATCGCTGCATTTCATTTTTAAAATGAATGCTATGGGGCGGTATGACGCTGTTCCTTTTCACGCTTACCAGCTGACCGCTTACCTCCATATGAGCGGCTTTTCCACTGTAACCAGTTTGTCCAGTTAGCTCACTATGTATGTCAGTGAACTTGAGATGCAGAGAGGAGTTGACCACGACGACGGAGTCCAATAAGGATTGGTTCCAAAAAGCAGATAAGACAAAAACAGAGTCCAAAAAATAAAATAAACAAGTAAATAACAGGGTGAGGATGTGGTAAAATTTGAAAACATAGTAAAAATCGGGTGAGAGCTTTTCTTTTTCTGGATTGCTTTTTAAAATTGTTAGTTGGGTTAAGGCAGGGGTGTCAAACTCAATTCCTGGAGGGCCGAAGCCCTGCACAGTTTAGTTCCAACCCTGCTCCAACACACTTACCTGTAGGTTTCAAACAAGCCTGAAGGACTCAATTAGTTTGATCAGGTGTGTTTAATTAGGGTTGGAACTAAACTGTGCAGAGCTGCGGCCCTCCAGGAACTGAGTTTGACACCTGTGGGTTAAGGGAAACGGGTGGGCGGGTCAATCTGTGCTTTTCAAAATACTGTTGGTTGGGTTTAGGGAAGGAGGAGGGTGTGTCAGTCAGTAAACAGTGGCCTCTGGAGGATTTGTGTGAGAACAGCAGGCGCAAAATGGCACCTGTGAGAGAAATTTGAGATCTCTAAAGAGTGTGCATAGTGGCCTTTGGTGTGGTGGATTTGCGAATATAAAAACTGCAAAAAAAATGTAGTTTCTAGAAAGTATTTTGTGATCCCCAGAAATATATATAGAGGTACATTTTCAGAAGGAGCCTGGGTTGTACTCATCAGAATGTTTTTGTTTGAGTTGTTATTATTATTAAGAATATTTTCTCTCTATTCTGTTCTCTTTCGTGACCAAGCAGAATCCTTCCAGACATCAGGATGACAAACGTAAAGCTTGTGATGTTGATTTAAATCAGCCTGTGTATGAGAATGCTACAGTAAGTGCTTTAGCTGATGCTTTTCTAAAACGCTGAACACAGTCGTGAAGATTAAAATATAAGTTTGAATAAAGTAAACCAGAGCTTTACCTTATAGAAAAAAGTGCTCCATAATGCTAAATCGAATAGAATTATTTGAAATATTAAATGGCTATTGTCTGATTATATAGAAACTATTTCTGTTTGTCTCTTCATCAAGGCTTTTCAAATCAACAAATGTGAACCTGAACTGGACTCTTCTGTGTATGAAAACCTTCCAGTAAGTAAAAAACTTACTGGTTATTAAAACTAATTAGCCTAAAGATTCTTGCTATTTTAGTTAAAACTGTAATTAATTATTTATTTACTGTATTTTTCCTTTAGAAAAACAAGAGGAAGCCATAGTGTTTTTGGTGCACAGCAAACATTTCACCGCCTTTACGAACCTCTTTGTGTTTCATTTATAGATGAGTGTGTAAAAATTGAAGCAAAATGTTAATTGACATGATGTAAACCTGTGTTACTAATCACCTTAATGTGCATTTTGCACATGACTTTTAAAGTTTTTAACCTTGGAGGGTGAGTTGTGAGTTGGCTATGTAAATTAAGAGTGGTCAAAGGTGTCAAGAGTGGTTTTGGGAGGCCGGTGAAAGGGCAGATGGGTGGTTAGGGACAAACAGCAAAGGCCTCCTGGTAAAAAAAAAAAAGTTGAAGAGTGAGAGCAGGGGCTTTGTGGGGGTTTTGACAATGTAAGTGAAGAGTAGTAGGAGAGGGTGCAGCCCTAAGCAATTTGTCACTCTTTTCCCCCACTTACGACACACCTGGGTGGAGCAGCAGAGCTGATACAGATCTATCCGCACCTGTACGATTCCTCACGAAGAGATTTTAAAGAATCAGAGGACTTCACACCGGTCGAGAAGCACAACTGCATTGCATAACCTCATATTCGCTTTCTCTGCGCAGCAAACAGAATACATTACGTATCTCGGGGAGAGGGTTGTTTGCCAGATGTTTATGAAACCGTTCTCTTCCAGCCGCTATTGTTGTTTATAGCACTCAGAAACAGCATGGCATATTTACAACCCTGCCTACTCAGTTGTAAAAACTTTTTTTGTCTCCAAATGAAGATTGAAATAAAAGTTTGATTAAAGTAAACCGGAGCTTTAACTGATCCTGTCACAATCACCAGCGATCTAGTCCATACAGATCACTGGAGAACTAAAAATCTGCCACCAAAAGAACTACAAATCCCATTTTGCCTGTTCACACACACCTGTTCCAGATCACTAATAATGACACAAAGCTGAAGCTCATGAGTGAATCATTAACTGGACTATAAAGACTCTCCTCTTTGCAACAAACATTGCTGAGTCTTGTTTTACCAACCTGGGCTCAGCCCAACCTAGCCCCGTGGACGTTTCTGCGGACCGCGAGATACGTCCCAGGAGGTTCGTATTCGAGCGTTTTTTGTTTTCGCGCATCCGCTAGAGGCCGCTGTGCGCGCTTTTTTGCATCTCGGGCGCTTCTCGGGAGCGCGCGCCGTTCGCGCCCGCACCGTTCTCACGCGAAAAGCCGCCAGATCGGCCGACCCGGCTGCCCTCCTCTTCCTCCTCCTCCTTCCCTAAACCTGAGCGACGATTCACAAAAGCCGTCCAGAAAAAAAAATAAAAGCCCTCGTCTTTGAATTTGACCGCATTTTCGGATCCCGGCGCGTTCTCGCCCTTATTTTTCGGATTCTGTTTTTCGTCTTACCTGATTTCCGGAACCGCTGTTCCCCGGACTCGATCCCGGTCGTCTTCCCTGTGGCCGGCTCCTACTCCTCCGCCTCTGGGGCCTCCACTCCGCCGACGCAACGCTGTGAGCTAAGCGGACAAACTGGTTACATCGGGAAAGCCCTACACTCGGAGGCGAGCCGTCGGCCGACGAGCACGAAGAGGAGGAGCGGAGCGGCGCCACACCGCCCCGCAGCGTTCGCTCGAAAAAAACTAAACACGTCCGTACGTACCTCCGGCCACGTAAATCGCGGTCTCCAGAAACGTCCGCGGGGCTACGTTTCCAGAATGAGCTTGGGTTGTGTTTTACCCTGTGTACCATTACAAATCGTTCTTCCTTGTTTGTCATGCCATGTTTCGATCCTTGCACGGTTTACCATTTCGATTTGAAGCCGGACCTTTTACCTGTAATCTGACCACATATTTTGGATTACCTTTATGCTTTAGTTTTGCTCTTGTTTTGACCATTGCCTGTCTGACTACTCTTGTCATTAAAGAACTGCACGTAGATCCTCACCTCTGTCATCAGCATCCATATGTTACAGACTGAAACGTTGACTAGAGTTTGTAGAAGAGTGGAGCAGAGCAACTCTCCTCCCTGCTCAACGTGTCCTGTAATCATCTCCATTCCATGATTTCCATTCCCACTCTGAGCCAAACTGAAGCAAGTGAAAATGGTAGCGACTTTGATAAACAGAGTTATAAGCTCTTTTAAAGCGATCAAGGGAGATGGAATAGAGTTACAGAGTTGTATACATATAGCATATAAGTACTTGACCAGTTATTATTGTGTTTGACCAAAATAGTTCAGTTGAGTTGTTAAATAATAAAAGATGTCATATGATAAACTGAAACGCACCTTTTCAGCAAGTATTTAGCAATCCACGGTCACAAAGGAAATCTCTGCTTTATGCAGTGCAAACTGAAAGTTGGCACATATCACTCTAGACCAGGGATCACCAAAGTTGTTCCTGAAGGGCCGGTCTCCTGGAGATTTTAGCTCCAACTCTAATCAAGCACACCTGAACAAGCTAATCAAGGTCTTACTAGGTATACTTGAAACACCCAGGCTGGTGTGTTGAGGTAAGTTAGAGCTAAACCCTGCAGGGACACCAACCCTCCAGGAACGAGATTGGTGACCCCTGCTCTAGACCATGGGTCTCAAACTCAATTCCTGGAGGCCTTCAGCTCTGCATAGTTTTTCTCCAGCACTAATCAAATACAGCTGATCCAAATAATCGAGTGTTCAAAAGAGTCTTGAAGCCCTTGATTAGTTGCATCAGCTGTGTTCGATTAGTGCTGGAGAAAAACTGTGCAGAGCTGCAGGCCTCCAGGAATTGAGTTTGAGACCCATGGTCCAGACATAATCTTCTGTAAATGTTTTGCTAATTGCCTAATAAAACTCATTTTGCAGTTAACTGTGGTGATGTATTTATTTCTTAGCATGACAATTGTATGCAAAGTAAAAGTATTTATGCTTTAATAATTGTAAAATGTTAGTTGTCCCAAGTATTTAGCAAGATTATCCAACTAAAGATTCCAGTATATATTTTTTCAGCTAGTGTTTTATTCCTATTCTCCTTTATTCTCCTGCACCAATTTTTGGTTTGATTGTAAATATAGGACTTACCATCCTGCTCCGATATTCCCATGCTCTCCAATGAATAGTTTATTATAGTTCATTCAACTCAAATCATTCACTTTTCAGCACTTTACAGCTTCTCCGTGTGTTCCCCAGGGCTCAGTCCTGGGGCTCCTGCTTTTTATCATCTACCTCCTTCCACTCGGTAATATTCTCCGTAAATATAGCATACAGTTTCACTGCTATGCAGATGACACCCAGCTCTATCTCTCTGGCAAACCCTCTTCTTGTTTTCCACCTACATCCCTTACAGACTGCTTAGCAGAAATCAAGTCCTGGCTCTCTCTTACCTTCCTCAAACTAAATAGTTCAAAAACTGAGGTTTTGCTTGTTGGTACCAAATCAACACTCTCCAAAACTGACAGCTTTTCTCTCTCAATTGACGACTGTTTCATTTATCCCTCTAAACAGGTTTAGACAAGAGTCTGGGTGTCATCCTTGATAGCACCCTATCTTTTGATTCTCACATCAATAACATCACCCGTTCTGCTTACTTCCACCTACGCAACATTAACCGTCTCCGCCCTTCTCTTACCCCTCATGCCACTGCTGTTCTCGTTCATAGCCTTGTCACATCTCGTTTAGATAACTTCAACTCTCTTCTCTTTGGTCTCACTCATAAATCTCTCCGTAAGCTTCAGTTGGTCCAGAACTCAGCTGCCCGTATCATCACCAGAACTCCTTCTTCTCATCACATCACCCCTGTCCTGCAGCAGCTTCATTGGTTACCTGTTCATTTTCGAATTGACTTTAAAATCTTGATGTTAACATTCAAAGCCATCCACAATCTCGCCCCTCCATATTTGTCTGCCCTCATCCACATTTCTGTTCCTTCTCGCACCCTGCGATCTTCTTCCTCTCTCCACTTGTCTGTTCCCTCTTCTCGCCTTTCAACTTTGGGCAACAAAGCATTTAGCCGCTCTGCTCCGCGGCTTTGGAACTCACTACCACCTGCCATCAGAAACATCGACTCCCTTACACTGTTCAAATCAAGACTCAAAACCCACTTATTTAAGATGGCTTTTAATACTTAATTTTATCTGCACTATTGCTGTGTATATTTTATTATTTCTCTTGTTGTTTTATTGCTCTTGTTGATTGTACGGTGTCCTTGATTTGCTAGAAAGGCGCCTTTAAATAAAATGTATTATTATTATTATTATGTATTATTTCTAACACAAAAAAATAGCATTAGCTTCATGTTTGTAATGCTTATGTTCAGTCCTGAATGCAAGTTTCAGATCTGCATTGAGAGCTGCAGTGCCTTGCTGACTCCAGCGACTGCTGATAGGCTCTTTTAAATAAAGGCGGGTCTTCTGTAACTAAAGACACCATTTTGGGTTGTGAAGAGGCCTCCAGCTTGACCTAAGCCAATTGAAGCCAAGCCTGAAATCTTAAAAGGCTAATGCTAACATTAACTCCACGGCAGTACACAGGAAAGGCACTATGTGATGCACTTTACTTGACCTTTACTTGAAGTTAGTGTTATGGGTGTTACGGTGGTAGATATGTTCATCTCCCCCTTAGTAAGAAGATATCTGGCTTTACTTTGACTGACTTCCTCTTCCTGCTAGGTGTGATGTCACTCAGAGTCTGTCGCTCATGAAGGTCACATGATCACACGTTCAACCACAGAGAGCAGAGGAAATCGCATGTGTCACCCTTTCACAGTTACACTTCCAAGAATAAAACACCACTGAGAACATTAACAGCTATTAATGCACTGGAAAGTTCATGCTCAGATGATCCAGCAGCTCTCAAACCAGAACCATTTATAGATTTTGTCTAGATTTTCTGTCTCTCAGGATCAGGTTTTATATGATGCATTTAGTAAAGCTTCTGCTTTATCTGTGAGACACAAGGTGTGAAAACCTCAATAAAATATAGGGTGTTAATCACGTGTCATGGACAATGTGTCAATGCCAGTACTGGTTATATCCAGATCATTTTACTGCTATCACTGGTCAGAAGTGTTGGTGAAATGGGTAAGAGCATTCTTTTATATTATTTTACTGAAAGCAGATATTTATGGGTTCTTTGAAAGTAGTTCAGTGAATTATTTTTGTTGTTGTTCTATCTGGTAACGATATTATATGTTTGAGATCAATACCTACATCAAAATCCGCTTCAGTCTGTTACATAATAGCTGTCTAAATAATGCCAATGGTTGGCCCACCCTCTCAAAATCGATGTCGTCCACTGTTAGACTTATCAGAAAGTATACTTTTCTATCTAAGACCTTGAAGAAGTATCAGCTAACAGAGCTTTCTGGAGCTCAATGCTCTCCATGAGGTTTTACAATTGGGTTTTAAAGCCTTTCGTAGTAGTCTTCACTGCTACAAGTAATGAGGGATACTTTGTTATTTAGGTACTTGAGGCACTCTGCAGTCCTTATTTCATGGGATCCTTATTTATTGTCTTGAGAAGGTTGTAAAGTTCAGGGCTCGGTTCTCAATTGGTTTAGATCTAACTGAAGATTTTGTGTTACAATTGTAACTCATAAGCAGGGGGGTTGTTTTACATTCTTGATTTGAATGTGCCTAATGTTGGAGCACATCTGATTCTTTCTGAAAGCTGATTCCAGCAGCGAGGGGTGCTGTTAGTTGCTGAAGGCGTGTTTCACCCTGCTCTGGCCCCGTTTCCACTAATGCGTTTTAGTTTGAAAACGCATAAGTTTTGCTACGGTTACGCCAACCGTCCACACTACGCCGGAGTTCTCGAGCGCCAAAAACGGAGCGTTTCGAAAACGCTGGAGAGGCCGTTTTCATTCTGAAACGTTGCTGCTCCGTCTCAGTGTGGATGATGGAAAACGGAGACATCTGAAAACGGAGGCGGGGCTGCTGACATTCGCCTCTCTGATTGGGGCTTTTCCTGAATATTAAGTAGCCTACACACACAGTTCAGTCCTGCATCTTCTCCGTGTAAGTTTAGACTTCGCAAGTTTGATCAAGGCTGCAGTCTCTTCTTCTCAGTTTGATATGGAAAAGCAGACTATACCGAGGACACGGGTAAATCTTCAAAGGGAACAGTGTACTTTATAACTTCATTCACATCACCTTGGCTACGTTGTTTCACTTTCTCAACAATAAAATGTAAACATGATTTAAGGAACTGCCTATCTTCATTTTAATATTAGCAGCTTAGGCAGCAGAAATGTTGAGGCGTCGTGCTGCATGAGCGTCATCTTCACTGTGTGGATATTTATAACAAAACGGAGCCGATAACAACTGCCTCCTTTCAATTTCAGTGAAAATACGAAACACACCCTCTCTTTTGCTGAATATCAGTTTTAAGAATCGATAATGGCTATTTTAAAAGTATAACATACAATAAGTTTATACATTATAGGAAATAAAGGCAAGTGATCAGTCAATATACAGAATAGGCTCCGTGGTTACATTAATCATTAACTTATCTTTGCGCTCAGCCAAAACACGTTACCTGAGAACAAGTAATAGATTCCAATGACCAAAGTCAGGGAATATGTCGTTAGATAAAGACAACAAGATAAATGAAATATCCCGTTTAATAAATAAATATAGTGAGATTAGATCCAGCGGGAGATGCTTGATGAGAAGTCCGACTAGCACAGCTCTCATCTGGGTAGATGGGCTGCAGCGCTTGCCCGAGAGTGTGTGTGTGGTCACGTGATGTGCGTTTTCATATTTTTGGTGTGGACGGAGAGCAGTTCAGAAACGCTGGGTAAAACGCGAGTGTGGACGCGGATCGTTTTCATTCTAAAACGCCGTTTTAAAACTAAAACGCACTAGTGTAAACGGGGCCTCTGACTGAGCTCTTGGTATTTTAAGTTTATATGATCTTAATGATTCGAGTGATCTGTTAGGTTTGTATTCAGTCACCATATCTGTAATGTATTGAGGTCCTAGGCCAATTAGGGATTTATAGACAAGTAGTAAGACTTTAAAATCTATTCTAAATGTAACTGGGAGCCAGTGTAAAAACCTGAGGACATATGTGATGTGCTCTGATTTTCTGGTTCTGGTCAGTCACACCAAGATTCTTGACCTTATTTTTCATTGTTTGACCCTTAGAGCCAAGGTACGTAATCACCTTGAGAAGCTCATCTCTGTTCCCAAACACAATTACTTCAGTTTTCTCTTTGTTTAACGAAAGAGAGGATCATCCTAGCGGCTCCCCTGGGCCCAATTGGACCTTGTAAAAGGCAAATGGCCAAAACAGATCAACTGGAGCTTGAGAAGATGTCATGATCAGAAGCAAAGTTTACCTGAATCAGGAGACGGTCGACAGCACTGTTGATCATTTCCCATGTTTTAATATCAAATGATGACATATTGATTATTTCCTACACTTCACCATTGATCAAGCTGTTTCAGAGCCTGTTTCAGAAAAAAAAAATCTAGTTTGCGATTTAATGCTTAAGGCTGTTCCAGAGTCAGCTCTAGTCTGACTTCCGAGTCTGATCCCATCCATGACTCCACTCTAGATCAGTTCCAGAACCAGTGCCAATCCATGACTCCACTTTAGATCCAGTTCCAGAGTCATTTCATGACTCCACTTCAGATCCAGTTCTAGAGCCAGTTCCTGACTCCACACCTGATCCTGTTCCAAAGCCAGTCTATGAATCCACTTCAGATCCAAGACAAATCTAGTTCATGACTCCTCGCCAGAGCCAGTTTCAGAGCCATTGTCTATTCCATGACTCCACTCCACAGCCAGTCCATGACTCCACTTCAGATCCAGTTTTAGAACCAGTCTATGACTCCACTCCAGAGCCAGTTCTAGAGCCAGTCCCACACTCCACCCCAGATTCAGAATCAGTGTCAGTCCAGGGCTCCACTCCAGACCCAGTTCCAAAATCAATGCCAGTCCATGACTCCATTCCAGTTTCAGATCTAATTCAGTTCATTACTCTATGCCAGAACCAGTTTCAGAGCCAGTGCCAGTCCATGAGTCCAGAGTCAGTTCTAGTTTTGCTCCTGCCTGATCTCCTGTCCCACCAGATTCATACTGGTTTCCTGTTCTTCCAACTCTATGCTCCTGCCCTGTTGGGTCTGCCCTGGCCACATAACTTGCCGCCTCCACCCTGACTGGCTATGCAGCATCACTGCCCCTGTCCTGTTCTTCTCCATGTAGCTGGTCCACTATTTCTCCACTTTTGTTTGCTTTTGCTGAGCCCTGATGAACACTTCATTCGTTCATTTATTTTCTTTTTCGGCTTAGTCCCTTTATTAATCCGGGGTCGCCACAGCAGAATGAACCGCCAACTTATCCAACAAGTTTTTACGCAGCGGATGCCCTTCCAGCCGCAAACCATCTCTGGGAAACATCCACTCATAAACTACGGACAATTTAGCCTACCCAGTTCACCTCTACCGCATGTCTTTGGACTGTGGGGGAAACCGGAGCACCCGGAGGAAACCCACGCTAAGGCAGGGAGAACATGCAAACTCCACACAGAAACGGCACCGACCCAGCGACCTTCTTGCTGTGAGGCTAGGCCACTAGCTTCTGCACCATTGCCTCGCCCCCTGATGAACACTTTATATTGGTTATTTTGTTTGTGAGCATCTGCACACGGGATACACCTCTTGCCTCTCTCTTTTCTGTACCTAGCACTATTCACTATTTATAACAGAAACTGTGGTTTATTTTGTCACTGGTGTGGGCACGGCCTAAAATGTTGGCTTTTCTTGGATAAATAACATCTTTGTTGAGTCTTTGATTGTTTTTCTTTGCAATTTGCAGTGGATTTGCAGTATTTTTGCCCTGAAGCATTTTAAAAAGACACAAAAACATTCTACTACATCATAGTAGAGTCCTGAATGCTGCAATAAAGTCCTGTGCTTGTATTGAAGGTGTTTCTATGATGATGTCAGTCAGAATGGCTCCTCATCTTACTCTGCTCATTCTGCTTATGATTCACAGTGAGTCATTACTGTTTAGTGACACATTTGTAAACTTTTTTATTGTGCTTTTCTCTAACATGAACTCTGAAATTTTGCAAAAAACATCTGGGTTTCAGGGATTTCTTGTGCTGATTGGGGTGTGAATTATAGTGCGCCTCACTGTGCACTAAAGAATTCAACAGTGATAATGAGCTGTAATTATACATACCCTACTGGACATCAGATCGTGAATGTTTTCTGGACAAAAGAAAAAGACAGAAAAGAAAAGGAGGATCATCCAGATCTATTAGAGGACCCTGAATACAGTCAGAGGCTTCAGTATCTGGGAGATGAACAGAAGTACTCTACCATCAGACTGAGTCAAGTGACGAAGAAAGATGAACACCGATATTTTTGCAGAATCATTACTAACAAACCTGGTGGGAAATGGATTGATGTTACAGGAGTGCGTCTCTCTGTCACAGGTGACTTTCTTGAGGTTTCTCTCTTCTTGTGGTCATTATGTAGAATAATAATCAGTGTGTGAGAGCAGCACTAGATATAATGTGTGTGTTGTGTTCAGATCTTCAGCTGGAGTCTCCTGAGAGAGTGACAGAGGGAGATTCAGTCCGTCTGACATGTAGATGCAGCTGTAAACTGACTGACACACCAACATTCATCTGGTACAGAAACTCACACACATTGACTGAAGAAACTACTGGAGACAAACTCATCCTCAAGTCAGTCAGAAGAGAAGATGCAGGCAGATATAGATGTGCTGTAAATGCACACACACTCACATCACCTGAGGTCTATCTCAATGTCATGTGTGAGTACAGATTTGTTAATTCTTCTAAAGCCCCTTTCAAATTACATGATTTTTTTGTTGTGGGAATTTGTAAGTAGCAAATAGGCATCGGGATGCAAAATTCAATAGTTTCTTAACATGTAGTGTATCATAGTGAACTTTGTCTACTATAGTTATGTCATCCTACCATGCTTCACGTCAGCATCACAGTAAGTCATAATTCATTCATTCATTTTCCTTCGGCTTAGTCCCTTTATTCTTTAGGGGTCGCAAAAGAGGAAAGAACCACCAACTTTTCCAACATGTTTTATGCAGCGGATGCCCTTCCAGCTGCAACCTCATACTTAGCCGGCAGCTAGCTCTCTGCATATCTCACATGGTCTCCCACTGAAGCTAACAGGGCTGCGCCCGGTCAGTACCTGGATGGGAGACCACATGGGAAAGCTAGGTTGCTGCCGGGTGTGGTGTTAGTGAGGCCAGCAGGGGGCGCCCAGCCTGCGGTCTGTGAGGGTCCTAATGCCCCAGTATAGTGACGGGGACTCTTTACTGATCAGTCTTTCGGATGAGACCTTAAACCAAAGTCTCAACTCTCTGTGGTCATTAAAAATCCCAGGATGTCCTTCCAAAAGAGTAGGGGTTTCACCCTGGCATCCTGGCCAAATCTGCACAATGGCCTCTGTCCATCATGGCCTCCTAACCCTCCCCATATCATAATTGGCTTCATCACTCTGTCTCCTCTCCACCAATCAGCTGGTGTGTGGTGTGCGGTCTGGCGCAAAATGGCTGCTGTCGCGTCATCCAGGTGGATGCTGCACGCTGGTGGATGAGGAGATTCCCCCCATTGTGCAAAGCGCTTTGAGTGCCCAGAAAAGCGCTATATAAAAGTAAGGCTTTATTAATTATTATTATTATTACTGGGAAACACCCATACACGCTCATTCACCAAGGCCAATTTAGTTCATCAATTCACCTATTACGCATGTCTTTGGACGGTGGGGAAAACCAAAGCACCCGGTGGAAACCTACGCCAACATGAGGAGAACATGCAAACTTCACACAGAAATGCCAAGTGGCCGAGTCGGAACTCGAACCAGCGACCTTCTTGCTGTAAGACAACAGTGCTAACCACTGTGTCACCCCTAGCATAATTTAATTATTTACATTTTTCACCTCATTGTCCGTAACGTTTTTCATCACATTGGTGACCAATTGACCAGTATAAGTAAAGAAACTCTTCTGTACACAGCGTTTAAAATGGCATAACCAGGGGCGGACTGGCCATCTGGCAATTCTGGCAAATGCCAGAAGGGCCGGAGCAATTTTTGAATGTGGGCCGGTAAGTTTTTTTTTAAATATGTATTGTTTTTAAGTGCAGACAGCTTTTATCTCTTGCTAGATGTGATATTATGATAATAATAATAATAATAATAATAATAATAATAATAATAAATGTTAAGCATTTGGCCCAATCGGCAACTGCCGCCTGGTTTCAAGATGGGCCGACCCAATTCGAGGTTACCCATACATAATCAAAATCTGGCAAGAATGTCATATTATTTCACCATCTGTAGACTAAATAGTGAATGTGCGTGTCTGTGGGTGGGGCTGTGTCGGTGTGGTAATGTGGGCTGGTTTGGCTACAGTGCCAGGGCTAATTTTTTGTCCCTGTCCGCCCCTGGGCATAACACATAAGAGAGGACTGCTTCCAAACATAAGATTCCTTTGTGGAGTTTTGGCAATAGTATGCATATATGACGTATCATCACAGAACTACCACTACTAAAATAAAAAGATAAATGTTGATCAGTAACCATGACCATTTTGCAGCCTGGTGAGTGAGTACTGGAATTATCCAAATACAAAGACATTTATAATTTAAGCATCATTTTGACAACAGACTGTGCATCGTAGACATCACGCAATTATTGATCGCGAAGCAAGATGTAGTCTGTCATATTTTGTACCTGAGACACCTACTCTAATGAAGTGACATTAAACAAAAATCACAATACAAATGGTGTAATCTGAGTTGGGGCTTTGAATGTTGTCGGGATTTATCTTTGGAAAACTTTCAATTATGTCCATTTCAGACCCACCAAAGAGCGTCTCAGTGTCCATTAGTGGATCTGCTGTAATAATGGAGGGAGATTCAGTGACTCTGAGCTGCAGCAGTGACTCAAACCCTCCTGCACAAATCAGCTGGTTTAAAGAAGGAAATATTGTAGGATCTGGAAGAATCTTCAGCATCTCCAAGATCAGCTCTGATGACAGTGACAAATATAAGTGTAGAGGCATCAATAATCATGGAGAGAAATACTCTGATCCTGTGACTTTAAATGTCCAGTGTGAGTTAATAATCATTTTTACATGGTTAAAATTATTGCTTTTTTTCAATCTCTATAATAAATGGTCATTTTTGTCCTTTCCAGATCCTCCCAGAAACGTCTCAGTGTCCATCACTGATTCTGGTCAGCTTTGGTTTAATTCAGTGAGTCTGGTGTGCATCAGTGACTCAAACCCTCCTGCTCTGAACTTCAGCTGGTTTAAGGAGAATCAAAGCTCAGCTGTTGGATCTGGACAGAGTTTCAGTGCAGTACAGAGTGGACGCTTCTACTGTGAGGCTCACAATCCACATGGAGCTCAGAGATCAGACGCCGTCACTGTCACTGTTAAAGGTGAAGCAGCTCATTTACTCTTTAAACAAGTTCTGCCCTGTAACACTATTGCCCCACAGTCCAAACACATGCGCTAAAGATGAATTTATTAAACTAAATTGTCCTCAGTGTTAACACTGGTCTCAGTGTTGTTTGTGCTACTGTAACCCACCAGTCCTACACCACCCACTTGCTTAGAGCTGGGATCAACCCTCCAATTGTTTTGCTTCTAGTGTCTAATGCTAGAGCAGCTTATGAGATCAGGGCCGGCCAAGTGAACCATGCCTGAGCCCGGTTCAAACGAATCAGGAAAGGCACCTGGGCACGGTTCGGATAGCATTGTGTGAGTGTATCCTGAGAGTTGTCATGACAGAGCTAGCGGGATTAACTTGAGTCTTTTGTGGCTTACAAATTCGTCTCTCTTTTAGGACACCCGGTGCTCTTCTACATAGCGATTGGAGTGGTTTGTGGATCAGCGGTTTTCATCACAGTGGTGATAATTTGGTAAGATGTGTGACGCTATGTAGTTTATCACAGTGGATGTTACCAAATTCCAATTGTCCATCTCTTCTTTTCACAATGAGAAAGGCTGAAATTCACATAATGATAGAGTAAACCCTGTATTACAAACCAGATTACAGTCAAATGGCAGTGGTCAGTCTTTTAAATCTCAGTGGTTAAGTCTGAATGTGCATTGAGGTTCTGATTGGTTGTTAATTTGTGAAATCATTCTCTTTAAAGGGGAATCAGGAGGAAGAGAAATGCCACACAGTCTCAGGTCTGGAAATTACTCATCAGAATGGGATTCAGAATGTAATAGTTTATGGGTTGGCTCAAGATATAATTTTCTCTTCTCTGTTTTTATTTCTTGTTTCTCTCTCGTGGTAAAGCTGAATCATTCCAGAGGTCAGGATGACAGAGGTAGAGCTTGTAATGATGATTTTAATCAGCCTGTATATGAGAATGCAACGGTAAGGGCTTTAGCTGATGCTTTTCTATAATAATTTAACTCTTTTCACTTTAGAGAAAATAAATAATATCCTTCCTAATCTTAGTTTTAAATATCACATTTTTGGTGTGTTTTTAAGAATTTGTCTCTTTGTCTCTTCATCAAGGCTCTTCAAGTTACCTCTGACCACTGTAAACCTGAACTGGACTCTTCTGTGTATGAAAACCTTCCAGTAAGTTAAAAAAAAAAAACCCTAATAGCCTAAAATCTAATGTTCTTGGTATTTAGTTACAAATGTGATTAATGATGTATAAACTGTCTTTTTTATTCAGAAAAACAAGAGGATGGTGTAGTGTTTTGGACACACAGCAAACAGTTCACAGGATAACACTTTATTTTGATGGTCCATTTGAGTATTAGTAGACCGTCTGCATAATATTTGTTGATTCTGCTCCTTCAACAGACATTTAACTGACTATAAGCAACTTTGCAAGTACATGTCAACTTACACTAACCCCAACCTAATAGTCTACTAATAATCTAATCAGAAATTAGTTGGCATGTAAATGCAGTGTAACTTAAATTCAACAAACGCACCATCAAAATAACGTGTGACCTTTCACAGCCTTTAATAATGTCATTGTGTCAAATTTATAGAAGAATGGGTGGAATAGGAAGCTAAATGTGTCTCTTACTCACTAAAATCTGTTTGTCTTTAATTTCTTTATAATAATAACTTGTTTTTAACCTTAAGTTTCAATGTTTTCTGTGGAAAGCGAGGAGAGAATGTCTCTACATGTATAATTTAACATTTTTGCGTCTATTAACACATGAATAACAGCATATCAAATATCAAACAGCATTACATTTAAACACTGAGAGAGAAATGCTTTGTTTTATAACACAAGATTAACTCTTAATCTTGATTTTGTACTAAAAACATGTAAATAAAGTTACTTACCCTCTACTCTGGCTATATGTTTGCATTTCTTTATTGATAATGAAAATCAATTATCTTTCTCTGAAAGAAACCTTATAAATGTCTATTAAACATCTAAACATAGACATCTTAGCTAAAATAAGCCTACACTGTAAAACCCAACAGTCAACTTTATCAAATGAAATGAGAGGAGTTTTCTTAAAATTGACTGAAAGTTAATTCTAGTCTTTTGAAAAGAGTTTTGAACTCGATGTTGTAGGTAATGAGTTAATTAAACACCTCATTACTTTAACTAAAACTCATATAGATTTTTTAAACTTAAATGGTTTGTAGAAGTCGGTTTCCTCAAACGGTTTGAGTTGCCTTAACTTATTGGGTTTTACAGTACTCATCCGGTTTGAGTCCTCTTCATTTATAGAGTGTTACTGTGCTCAAATTGCTTTATTTACTCAAATGGATTAAGTTCACAGTACTCATTAGGATCAGTTTTTAAACTTAAATGGTTTGTAGCAATCGCTTTCCTCAAATGGGTTGAGTTACCTTAACTTTTTGGGGTTTACAGTGTAAATTTGGGCTGCCAGTAATAAGTTATATATTTGATGACTAGTCTACTCTGGCTATTCTTAGATGTCTGTCATGACGGTAAAACACGATTATGGATGTATTAAAGCATGTGCTTGTTTGTTGTAAAAATTTGTAGTTCCTTTCTGGTTGCAGATATCTTGCCATTGTGGCTGGTGTATTCTGGGAAATTTTCTTACCCCTTGGTTTCGAGAGTGGTCCTGAAAAACTTCCATTCGAAGGGCGATCTACTTAAAAATAATTTTTTCCTTTTATTTTATAATTTTTTCTATCTTTATTTCTATAAAGTATCAATGTATATAGTGTCAAAGCATTTACTCTAGCTCTCAAAGGTGCAGTATGAGATCTGGCCAAATGCTAACTTGGAAGCAATGAATATGCATGTACCTCCTTAATGCAAATTACGATCCAAAGCCACACCTCCTGAAGTCCTGAATGAGAACTGACACGACCCCAGGCAGCATTACCTCATGAGTTATTCACTGATGAGAATACTGTGCGTGACTTTATAATTCTTCAATTACCAACCTTTTAAAAAATTTACTTTCCCACAAGGAAACACAACTGAGTACATCACAGAATAACCTCAAGGATTACAATGTGTAACAAATTTATTCGTTGATTTTCTTTTCAGCCTAGTCCCTTAATTAATCTTATCCAGCATATTTTTTTATGCAGCGGATGCCCTTCCAGCTGCAACCCATCACTGGGAAACATCCACACACAGTCTGTATGACAAATTATAATAAATAAATAATGTAAAATTGGCTAAAGCTAAATAACTAGTAGGCTAGCTGTTCACAAACTAACTTAAACACTGAAAAGGTAAACTACAACATATGACAGGTAATATTAAATGTGGAATATATTCAGAATATTCAGAACCAACCAATAACATGCACAATTAAACCTTAAACAACATCACATATGCTCTGAAACATCCAAAATATCAAAAATATAAGTCAGTCTATCAAAAACAAGCACGTCTACACATTAATTAATGCCCTAACCATAACATATCTCTTAAAATAACATGGATAGCAAATATTATTGACAAAAATTTACAGATTCTGTAAAGAGCTGGAACAACCTTCCTTACCTTTCCCACAAGGAAACACATCTGAGGCCAAACAATAACCCACCTCCCTAACACAACTCACAGCTCCCCCGGAGGAAAGGAAGAGATGTAACATCCCTCAATATATCAGCACTGTGGCCTCACAGCAAGAAGGTTGCTGATTTAAGTCTCTAAATCAGTTGTCATTTCTGTGTGGAGTTTGCATGTCTCCCCGCACTGGTGTGGGTTTCCTCCAGGTGCTTCCGTTTCCCCCACAGTCCAAACACATGCGCTAAAGGGGAGTTGATGAACTAAACTGGCTTTATTGCATATGTGTGTGAATGTAAGAGTGTATGGGTGTTTCCCAGTACTGGGTTGCAGCTGGAAGGGCATTCGCTGTGTAAAACATATGCTGGATAAGTTGGCGGTTCATTCCGCTGTGGCAACCCCAGGTAAATAAAGGGACTAATGTTACGGAGGCCAGCTAGTAAGTGCTGTGCAGGTAAATCTCACTCCTCAGACCTCTAAAGGTGCTCTAGTAACAGATGCTAGATGCCATCGTATTTAGCCTCCTAGGTAGAGCAACCAACTCCCATGCCGAAGATCGCCGGTTTGATACCAGCTCGGAGCGCGTCAGGTGGCGTAGGACCGGCAGGGTTACACTAAGTCGAAGGAAAATTAATAAATGTGTTCAAAATTTGGCATTTCTATTATTTTCTCAAGCCATACTTTAAAATGTGCTTTAATACAGGATGATGGAAACCCATCTGGCTTCTGTGTTGTGGAGGATTCAGCTGTCTGTTCAGAATTTGCATAAAGGTTTAATGCAGTTCGCAGGTCTCTAATAAACACACAAAAGAGGAAGAGAAACCAAGAGTTTAGCTATTACCTTAGGTCTAAAATCTCAACATGTGGCCAAAAGCAATAAATTATTATTATTTTCAAATGTTTATGGCTGACTTTGTTCACTTTCAAAACAGTCGCGTCTAAATAGAAATCAAATGCATCTGAAAATCAGAAATGCTTTGAAAATGTGGGAAAGGTTGTGTGTGTAGCATCTGCTTTCACTTCCTCTTTGTTTCTCTATCTGACTCGCTCAGGCACTGAGGGATGCTACTTGATTTGCCTGAGCTGTTTCTGATCAGATGTTTTCTTCATGTGGTGAGTGTGGGTGAGATGTACTTTGCAAAAATACTGAGAAAAAAGGAAGATAAAGAGTTGGTCTTTAAGAGAAAGTGTCTTATGGCTGTACACCTCTGTTCACGAGGCTGATAAACGGTAAGAAACATTCTGTTGGTAGTTTTTAGTGTTGCTTATTATCTTTGATATACTTTACTTTATTCATTGTCCACAAGTGGAAATTTATCTTTGGCTTCACCACACAACCACATCAGTGTTTACATTACACACATCACAGAAGAAAACATTCAACACGAATACATTCAACACGAATACATTCAACGTCGTCACATATATCACATTAAAAAACTCAATTTAAAACCCTACACATAATTAAAACCCAGTATTTAAAATTCTAATCGCACTTGGCAGGACATTTGATACACATTTTTCTTTACTTGAGGTTGCCTTCTCAATTCTCATTGAATAAATTTCATTTCATATCTGCAATGTCTTCATCATTTGCATTTGTTCTTAAGTTGTGTTGTAATTTATTGTCGCTTTTTATTTGACTGTTTACGGATGGTGTCTTAAAAATTCATTCATTCATTTCATTTTTCGCCTTAGTTCCTTTATTAAAATGGGGTCACCACAGCGGAATGAACCGCCAACTTATCCAGCACGTTTTACACAGCGTATGCCCTTACAGCTGCAACCCATCACTCGGAAACATCCATACACTCTCATTCACACTCATACACCACGAACAATTTAGCCTACCAAATTCACCTATAGTGCATGTGTTTGGACTTGTGGCGGAAACCGGAGCACCCAGAGGAAACCCACGCCAACACGAGGAGAATCCTTTATTATTATTCATTTATATTATCATACATGCTAAAAACAGAAAAGTCTGGACGTTTTGTGACTGTCGTGTCTGAGTACAGTACTGGCACGTGACTTTCTTTGTTGACTCCATTGACTTAAATGCATTGTTCATTTTAAGTTTACCCAAATTTGACTTGTAAATTATGTGAAACTCCAGAAAAACATATTCCAGGTCATATTTTACAGGAGAATCATATTATTTATTTTAGACAATCGTCAGGGTCAAACATTATTCCAAGATTAATTTTCTGAGATTGTAATGTTCTTGCAGCAAGGGAACAATACAGAAGAAACACTAGAGGTTCCATTCTGGTTGCTCAAAGGGCAATTCTTCGAGGCAAGTTTTTATACAGGCGTACAAACAGATGATGATGCATTGGGCTCTATTTTTACGATCTAGGTGCAAAGTCTAAAGCGCAGAGCGCAAAAGCATTAAGAGCATTTCTGAATCCACTTTTGCTATTTTAAGGACAGAAAAATATGCTCTGTATTCTCTTAATGAGTTGTGGCTGTGTTTTGAAAATAAACCAATCAGAGTCTCATCTTCCATTCCCTTTAAGAGTCAGTTGCGTTGCACCATGGCGCATTTGCTATTTACATCACTTAAGTGTTAAAACTGAACCCTTCACTAGCAAGAAAACCATTAAACAGAGCATCTGCAGCACGAGAATAAAGAATGAGCCTCCTCCAATCGGCCTTTACTTTCTCTTTCTTTCGTGGAGAAGGAAACAGTGTTATACTCACTCCACTGAAGACATCCATAATTCATTTTGTTTGTTGAGTGCAAAGATTTGTTTCAAAACTATTTCTAAATTCAGATCTAATTTCAGCAAATGAATGAATGAACAATGATTACGAAGTGTGGTCAAAAAACTAAGTAATGTCCAAACCAGGGCTTGATTTGTGCCGGAACATGAATTCTCTGAAATCTGTTCCAGTACCTTATTTTACCGATCCCCCTCCTCAACCACCCTCTTCCCGGTACGCTGTTCACTTTCACTTTCTTCTGCGACTCCCCAACTCTCTTTACGTTCATCCGCGACAACACCACCCACTCACTATCGTCCGCAACACCCCTCCGCCATCCACCGCATCAACCCCACCCACCCTACCCCCCGCTCTCCATTTTCGTGCGTGATACCTCTCTATCCTTGAGAAGTAACATGCCGGATCCGTTACCCCAATCTGTTCCGGGACCTCGCAATTCACAAATTAAACACCGTTCCAAACACACATGCTTTGCCCCATATGGTTCAAAACCTGACAGGTGGACAAATCTAAGCTTGTTTTTAATAAAACTAATTTAAATAAGCATATAATAAATAAAACTAATAATAATAATAACATTATACCAAAGCAAATTGTCAAGAATAAACTAAAAAAAAAGCCCCTTGAGGTGAAGAAGGCATGAAGGGCAGTGGCTTTTATATTCACGTAGAAAATTACACTTTTAGTAATATTTGAATTCTTTTTCATTTGTAAAGATATTTGTGTATTGCTGTACATACTGCGTTTATTAAGCAACAACAAGGCGCACAACTAATGCACTTTGCTCTGGACTTTAGACCTGTACCTCAAAATAGCAATGCTCCAACAATGCGCCCTAACACACCTCTTTTCTAGACCGAAACACCCATGAGTCCACAGAGTGGTGCAAATGGATTTGCCATTTAAACAGAATAGAGCGAAATGGGAAAATTTTAATTTGCACCTTATTGTGCCGGGTGTATATTAGGGCCCACTGTCTTTAATCATTGGTCTAAGCAGTCTGTTTGGTAGAATCCTATTGATCATATAATCATATCATTGTCAGCACAATATTCCTCCAACTGGCATATTCCAACCATTCAGCTGATCGAAAACTACAGTTGAGCATGTGATTATATCTAAAAACATTTTTAAAAATGTACTATTTTTGTACTTACAATGGGAAAGTTGCTATATTTTATGCTAAGACCTAATTATTAATTGTTGGGTTAGTTGGTGTTTCTGTGTGGAGTTTGCACGTTTTCCTGGTGTTTGAGTGGGTTTCCTCCGAGTGCTCCGGTTTCCACCACAGTCCAAACACATGCGCTATAGGGGAATTGATTAACTAAATTGGCCGTAGTGTATGTGTGTGTGTGAATGTGTGTGTATTGATGTTTCCCAGTTTTGGGTTGCAGCTGGAAGGGCATCCCCTGTTCATTCCGCCGTGTTGACCTCTGTAATAGAGACTAAGCCGATAGAAACTGAACAAATAAATGTTCTTGATTCATTTAAAGAGCTTCGCATTTCCAGAGGTTGAGATATAATAATAAGTGGCTGTCCATCAATTGTGTTGTAGGTGTTGATATGATGATGTCATTCAGAATGGCTCCTCCTCTTCCTCTGATCTTCCTCATCTTCGGGATTCCTGGTAAGTCTGAACTAACTCTGCTTTTTCAGCATCCTCCAGCAATACAGTCACAGCTAATTTGAATTGAACAAATTCATTTCAGATGTTTTCAGTGAAGGCGAATGGGCTGTGCATTACAGTTCTTCACACATCTGTGCACTAAAAGACTCATCAGTGATAATGAGCTGCACTTATAAATACCCTGCTGGACATCAGATCATAACAGCGTTCTGGAACAAAGGCTTTGTAAAAAATGGAGAGCCTCCAGATCTGTCTAAGGACCCTGAATACAGTCAAAGACTTCAGTATCTGGGAGATAAACAGCAGAACTGCACCATCAGACTGAGTCATGTGACAAAGAAAGATAAACATGAGTATTACTTCAGATTCATTACTGATGTAACAGGAGGAAGATATACTGGTATTCCAGGAGTGCGTCTCTCTGTCACAGGTGACTCTCCTGAGGTTTCTCTCTTCTTGTGGTCATTATGTAGAATAATAATCAGTGTATGAGAGCAGCACTAGATATAATGTGTGTGTTGTGTTCAGATCTTCAGCTGGAGTCTCCTGAGAGAGTGACAGAGCGAGATTCAGTCCGTCTGACATGTAAAAGCAGCTGTAATCTGACTGACACACCAACATTCATCTGGTACAGAAACTCACAGAGATTGACTGAAGGAACTACTGACAACAAACTGATTCTCAATTCAGTCAGAAGAGAAGATGCAGGCAGATATAGATGTGCTGTACATGGACACACACTCACATCACCTGACGTCTATCTCGATGTCACCTGTGAGTACAGAATCTGAGAGTTTAGATTGTGTTGAAGATTGAAAGATCAAATTGACTAGAATGTTAATTATTTCCATTAATATGGTCAACTGGACTTCTAGATCCTCCAAAGGAGACCTTAATTGTCATCGATAGATCTGCTGTAATAATGGAGAGAGATTCAGTGTCTCTGAGCTGCAGCAGCGACTCAAACCCTCCTGCAGAAATCAGCTGGTTTAAAGGAACACAATATATTAGATCTGGACGAACATTCACCATCTCAAATATCAGCTCTGATGACAGTGGGGAATACAAGTGCAAGTCCTTATATGGAAATGTAGATAAATACTCTGACCCTGTCACTTTAGATGTCCAGTGTGAGTTCATGATCATCTACACATTGGTTCAATTATACAAATTCACAGTTTTCTAACATCTATTGTGGATTTTAATGTTTAGATCCACCCAGGAACATCTCAGTGTCCATCAGTGGATCTGCTGTGATAATGTCTGGAGATTCAGTGACTCTGAGCTGCAGCAGTGACTCAAACCCTCCTGCAGAAATCAACTGGTTTAAAGGAGAAACATCTGTAGGATTTGGAAGAATCTTCAGCATCTCCAAGATCAGCTCTGATGACAGTGGAGAATACAAGTGTAGAGCCACAAATGAGCATGGAGGGAAACACTCTGATCTTGTGACTTTAGATGTCCAGTGTGAGTAAATGAGGGTTCAGCTATTTAAAATTACAAAGATGGTATTTATTATATCGGTTTATTTCTTCTTCTTTTTTCAGACTCCCCCAGGAGCACCTCAGTGTCTATAAATGGATCTGCTGTGATAATGTCTGGAGATTCAGTGAGTCTGATGTGCATCAGTGACTCAAACCCTCCTGCTCTGAACTTCAGCTGGTTTAAGGAGAATCAAAGCTCAGCTGTTGGATCTGGACAGAGTTTCAGTGCAGTACAGAGTGGACGCTTCTACTGTGAGGCTCACAATCCACATGGAGCTCAGAGATCAGCCGCCGTCACTGTCACTGTTAGAGGTGTGTATCAACATTTGGTAATGTGATGAGTGTTTCAGCTACTAGTGAACTCTGCTTATTGTCACTTTGGGTTTGCAAGGTTGAGTTCGTGCTGTAATGGTGCTTATAGACATCATGGGATTGGAGGGGAATTTACAATAACTTAAAACAATTAGTGTTCTGGATTTAGTATTTCACAGTTCAAACGCCACAGTTTTAGCTCTGATTGTTTTGTGGGAACATCAACAAAAGCCTGAATTGGAAACACTTTCTAAAATCGAAATTTTGCCGGTCACCTTTGCTGATGATTGGGATAAAACCTCATCTTAACATGGTTAATGCCTTATCACTGCCTTAATGTACTACAGATTAACAAATTCAGAAGCTGATAGAGACGCATTCTTGCCTTGATTCTGTCATTTAAATGATGATAAAAACATCTTACACTTGTTTTGTTGTAGGAAGAATGTTTGCGTATGCAGCCGCTGGAGTGATTGGTGGACTGGCAGGGTTGCTCCTCATTTTCATCATTGTTTTCATGTGAGTCCTTGAGAAAAATGAGTGTACCAAGACTAATTCAAATCTATTGTGTTGCCCAAAGTATTGCAAACACTGTGAAGTTTATTTATAAACTAATTTCAAGAGGATCACATGCTTATGATTGATCACAGCTAGTCCCTCATTAGCCAATTTATAATTCACCAATCAGACCATTCCTAAATCACTATAAAAAACGTTCCATACCCCACAGTCATCTTTGTTTTTAAGTATCCCCCCTTCCATCCCTACTCTCCTCCTTTCCTAGAAAGGTGGCATGGTGGTTAGCTCTGCTGCCTCACAGCAAGAAGGTCAGTTTCTAGTCCTAATAAAGCTAGTTGACATTTCTTTGCGGAGTTTTCTCAATGTGTACACAAAGGCTTCCCCCGGGTCCCCCGGTTTCATCCAGCCATCCAAAAACATGTGTCTTAATCTGATTGACTAATACAAATCGGCACCATAGACATGCTCCTAGTAAGTAGTTACCTCCTTATACCAATCCCTAATTGTTCATTAGCTCCAAAGCTAAAAGCTGCAGGGGAGTTCTCAAGATCTACCTGAGCTCAAACTCCCCTCTAGCCTTGCAAACGGAAGGGCTTGAGGATCTTATGAGCTCAGGGCTCTCCCGGGACAGCATGCCAAACAAGCTTTATAATCAATCATCAGCTAAGTGTGAACTCTTGAATTGCACATTTATTATATTACAGGAAGAGCAAACACAGATCTGATGGCAACACACAAAAGCAGGTGAACGACGCAATTAGTTAATATTACAATCACCACCAAATCTGCCTTGAATAATGTCTAAAACCGAGTATTCTCTCATTTTAGGATGATCTGTATGTCAACTTATCGGGACAAGTCTCAGCACAAGGTGGTCTTCAGCCTAAATCTGATCCCGCTAATCAAAGCGAAGGCCTGTATTCCCTGGTGACCCTCAGCAGATTCAATAAAGGTCATGCTGAAGGAAAAACGTCAGATTCTGAAGATGAAGACGAGATCCAGTATGTTACCGTTCGGCATCACAGAAACGAGAACGAAAGCCAGTATGTCAACTTTAAAACACAACTGTCTGATTCAAAAGTCAGGTAAGAACTAATCAAACACAATATATTACAGTTAAACATTATTAAGGTGGTTTTTACATCAAAAAACAGCAAGTAATTGACAATTTTCGCTGAAAATTTTGACTCTCATTATTAGAACACTCTTTTTGAATGGGCGTGACCAATTGTAGACTCCCACGGCTCTGATTGGCTGACAGATTTGCATATAAACAAGTCTAAACAGGTAGTAAAGTAGAAGTAGGTGTTAATTTGTTTCTGCTTAGGAGGCGGGGCTTAGCCACACTATTACATCATAGAGCAGAACATTCCAGAAGCCGGGGTTCAACTAGAAAGACTTCAATTTGAGCTGATTTTAGAGAAATACCAAAGTGTTAAGTTCTGAAACTTACGGGATATTTTAGTTTAACTGTTTTTTTATTGAAATATGTTAGTCAGAGAGCCACAGCATCAGATACACAGAATCATTAGACATCAACTGCTCCAATGTGGTGGTAGAATACAATTTAGCTCACGTTTTCTTTCTCTCGGAATAAAACAATATAATTACATATTCATGCATTAAGGAAAAAAAAACAGTACAGAGAATAAATAAATAAAAATACTCAAAGGGTACAACAGTAGAAAATAAAATAATAAATATTTAAAAAAATAATAATAATAATTAAAAACAAAACAAAAAAACACTTTCCATTCATAACTATGTCAGGGGCAGGGAAAATAAGTCAGCTATATACTTGCATACATATACACATACATATATACATGCTTATTTATTTATTATTTTTATTTTTTAGGTGTAAGAGGAGGGGTTGCCAGATAGTGTCAAATTTTTCAGTATTACCGCAAACTGTATATCTTATCTTTTCTATTTGCATAGACTGCATCAGATCATGCGTCCAATGTATGCTTTCAGGATATTTTAATAGCACCATGAGCTCTTATACACCAAATGATCAAGGGGATTTTGGTGTTTCATAACATGCCCCCTTTAATAGCTATTCTGAATGCACCTGTGTATTAGCTGACCCATCACTGATGCATTTATATCTCTGTACTTATTATTTGACAGATCTGCTGATCAGAGTGTGGAGGATCAATCTGTGATTTACAGCACTATCAAATGAGCCACAGACCAATGTACTGCAGTCACTGGGAAAACAGGTCTTCATGATGATGATGATGATGTCTCCCTCATGTGGTGGGACTGTAGCACTGCAAATCTGATGCTGCTTTTCTTTTTTATAATAATATACTTTTTTGCAAACCTTAACGCAGAATTTTTTTCTCATTCACACTTGCTGCACAAGACTAGAGACGATTCTGGATAGATTTAAAATTTTATATTCGTCAAAATACACATTACTTTGCTTACACATTTATTATTAGCAACACATTTAGTAACACAAGTGATTTAAAATTGTAATGTATTACTTTTTTCCCCAAAACTGCTGGTGATGAAGAGATTTATTTATTTATTTTCTGAAAATATTGCATAAGCTATGTAGTGTAGAAATGTCTTTTAAAAGGCTTGTATTTTTAATCTGGCTCCCTCTGCTGTTTAAATGGAGTAATTGCATACCGACTGATACTGTTTGCTGTTGATTGTGGAGAGAAAAAACAGATGAGAAAGAGGAAAGAAAACAGAGGATAATGGACCACAAGCTTTGGGTCTCAGTGCTGTTGTGTATTTGTATTTTTTTCCCAGTGTGAAATATTTATGTGGTTTCTGGCTATAAGCTAATCTGTGTACATTGGCTAGTCGACCTGTATTGATCTGTATGAGTAGTTTCAGCTGATCAATCTTGAATCTTGAAAAATTCTAAACTTTGACACGTCATTCAAGCCAGCAGGCACACAACGTCATAAGACCAACCAACACAATCTCACGGCAATTCGTAACTCCTTAATTTAGTTGCTGATTCGTATGATCTAATTCATACATTTTAGTACGGTTTGCTCATCCCCCAATGACAGTTGGGTTTAGGGGTGGGGTTAGGTGCCATGCCTCCTTTTTAAAATCGTACAATTTCATACGACGACTGAACTCGATTACTACGAATTAACCACTGAACTGGCAAAACGTAAAATACTCACGTTTTCTCGTGAGATCAGGCTGGACCAACATAAGCTCGTTCTGAAAATGTAGTCCTTTATACATTTCTGGAGATTGCGAATTATGTAGCCAGAAGTGCGTATGACTGCATTTTTAAAATGAACACTACGGGGTGATATAGCGGCATTTCTATTCACGCTTACCTGCTGACTGCTCCGTATTGACGGCTGTCCTGCTGTTACCAGTTTGTTCAATGACTCACCCTGTACATCATTGGAAAGTTCCCTTTTGCTAATGTCTAATCGCAGCATAAAACGTTAATATTAGGTTAGATTTAGGTCATGATGTCGGGTGACAAAACAGTCTAGCCAGCGTATAAGGACAACGTTATTCTGATGATGAATAATGATGTCAAATGATGTTGATTTTTGGTCATATTGACATCAAATACTGGGTTTTATGCATCTGGACACCAAAATCCAACATCTGAAATCAATGCAGGGGTTGCCGCTGACCTTTGACGAACGACCGTGATGAAAGAAGGGGGGTTGTCGCGGACAGAAGGGAAAAGTGGGTGGGGATGGGTAAATGTTTGGGCCCCTAACAATGTCTCTGGAGGCCCCTAAAACTTTGTGGGTCCTTTAAATAGTCCTAACTTCCCCCGTTTCGCCGGCCCTCGATAGATGTCATAGTGGTAACGTCCTTACAACAGTACGCTGTAACATCATTAGACGTTGATATTTGGTTGTTTTTAGGTTGTGTTGGAAAGTGACCATAATTCAACGTCGGTCTGATGTTGGACGCTGACGTCGGCCTGATGTTGGGTTCTGGCATCAACTCAATTTTCCAACCCAGGTTCATTCTGAAAATGTACCACTATGTACATTTCTGGAAAGCGGCAAATATGTCCCAGGAGCTACGTTTTTTGCAGATTTGTTTTTTGTGAGTCCACTGTGTACGCTTTTTCAGATCATAAATTTCATCCCGAGTGCCATTCGCACCTGCTGTTCTCACATAAATCCACCAGAGGCCGCTGTCGACTGTCTGAATGACTGATTGTTTGACCAATCAACTGATCCACCCAACCCCATTTTCTAAATCCAACCAACAGTTTTAAAAAAGCAATAGCCAAAATGAAAAGCCTCTCCTGATTTTTACCTTGATTTCAGATTTTACCACATTCTCACCCTGTTATTTACTTTATTTTTTTGGATTCTGTTTTTGTTTTACCCGCTTTCTGGAACAATTCTTCACCAGACTCGAACCCTGTCATCATGGTCAACTTCTCTCTGCTTCTCAAGTCTGACGTACAGGGTGAACTACAGGGCAAACTGGTAACAGCAGGAAAGCCGTCCATACAGTTGTAAGTGATCAGCTGGTGGTGTGAAAAGGAGTGGCATCATACCGCCCTGTAGCGTTCGTTTTAAAGATGAAGTGCAGCCATACGTTCATCTGGCTACATAATTTACCATCTCCAAACATGTATATAGGGCAACGTTTTCAGGTCTATGTTTCAATTTTCATTTACACCCAACTTGCAACATCCCCTGACATTGAGATGCATCAGTCTGATGTCATGTTGACATTCTGTGCTTGCTGGGAATGCTGTACTGATTGTCCACTCGTGTTTTTTTGTTCTTTTATTTGGTTTCTTGTGTCGGTTTGAGAGGGATGTGGGAACGTTTTGTTAATTTTTCTTTTCAGTTTTAATTTGTTTGTTTATTTTGATTGGTAGTTACTAATAGAATGATTTCCATATTTGATTTGGTATTGTGGCCTTCTCTCTTTCTGAAGCCTGTATTACAGTTCTGCAAATAAATTTAGTTTTTCATTGGTAAGTTTTGAATCAGGGCCGGAGTGGGACTCTTTTTCAGCCCTGGAGTTTCAAGCCTCAGACCGGCCCAACCTCAGTTCACCACTGACTATATTAAAATAAGGTCATTTCCAATTCAGTTTCTAATTACACTATCACGTCTTTTTTTTTGAGAAAACAGCTCTTTTAGAACTTCAAATGTTCAATAACCCTTACAGTATTATGTCTTAACAATAAAAATGAAAAAAAAAAATGTTACTCAGACAAGGACCGAACCCAGGTTGACCGCGTCATAATCTAACGCACTAACCACTGTACCACAACAGCTGTACATTAAATGGTGACTTATCTAGTTATATCATCATTAACCTGCAGGCTGCATTCTGCTCACGAGGCTACGAGAAAATAGATAAAAAGAGCAGAGCTGCGGTAAAATAATGAATAAGAAGGCTGTGGTCAAGTAAATAAATAAATTATTTTTAAAAAGTGTGACTGCTGAGAGCAACAGATTCTGGAACTAGGGACACCAGCGGCCAAAAAAACGGACCGGCCCACCGGGAATTCTCCCGGTCCTCCCGATTAGCCAATCCGGGCCTGTTTTGAATATTATATTATTAATGACCTCCAGAATCAAGAGCGTCTGTGCTCCGCGTCAGACACCTTCAAACTCCACCACGCATTCACAGCATGTCAGGATTGTCTTCTGAGGCTCAAGGTATTTATTAGATGAAGATTGACGCAGCTTCTCCTACTGCAGCAAAGTTAGTTTGTACTGTTGATATTTGGTGCCATTTAATCAGGAAGTGACAATTTGTTCACTTTGACTCATTGGATGGAAGCTCTGCTTTACCGTACGTTCACAGCGAAAGCGGCGAGAGCGTCTAAGGTCGCTCTGGCCGCCCTGGCGACAACGCTGTCTGCCTTCAGCTCCGGCGGCGAGAGCGTCAAAACTCGCTACATTGATCTCGTACTTAAAGGAGCCGTTGCAGCATATCAGTTACATTCCTGCATAAGACATGTTTTTAGCGTGAAAATGTTGCGCACTTCTTATCAAATTCATAAAACAATGGAAGATCAAGTTGTGTGTGGTGTGGCTTTGCTTTATTTATCCAATATGTGTCCATATGTCTGAAATATCCTGAAGCAGCAGTACTGTTTTGTACTGTCACATCGCGTGAGATTCCCGCTTTTTTTAAGATAAATTTATATAACATTAATGAACATCAGTAACTCGCCAGTAACTTATTTAATGTAAGTTCCTGTAAGAAAACATTGTTAATAATTGGAAATCCGGCGACCGCAATAATCAAACCCTTTGGAACAACTGTGGTCGGAACCAAAGTTCACAGGTCTGTGTTCTCTGAACTGCTATCAAGCGGTGGACGTCTTCATTCTGATTGCTTGCCGCCGAACCGCGTCATAGCTCATTACCATAAAGTTGACTTCATTTCAACTCTCCTCGTCGCTCACGCCGGCGAAGACGCGTCGTGCTGCTCCTCGCCGCTTATCGCCTACTATCGCCGCCGGCTCTCATTGAAAATGAATGACTTCCGGCTACTTTGACGCTCTCGCCGCTTTCGGTGTGAACGTACGGTTATTCGCACGTCTTTTATGCGATAATCCAGTTTTGCGCAAAAAGTTAATTCGCATTTTTGGATGGAAACAGAGCTATTGATAGTTTTACTGATCACTAAGATATGATTGACTTGGATTTTAGTTGCTTCGATTTAAAAAATGAAAATTGTAAAAAATAGCTTAGATGTAGCTAAGCTACTGTTGCCTTGTAGCTTTTAGCTTAGCTTGCTACATTACCCAGGGGGTAGCTTTAAGTGTAGTCAAGCTACATTTTAAGTAGATTAGCTAATAACACTACATTTTTTTTCACATAGCTTGCCCAACACTGTTAATCAATATCATTTTAGGCTCATTTAAATATTAATAAAAGCTGTGTGGGCTGGAGGTTTGTATGAGTCGGATTGAAATCTTACACCTAAAGCCTCTGCTGCTTCTAAGTGAGAAGTGAAACTTCAGCCATCTTCCCGTTTCTGGACACGCACATGCACTGAAAATAATGTGCTCGCATTTAATAATAGATTTCATTAAAATTCATTCTATTATAACTACACAAAGTATTGATTTTAGTTTGTCACTATTGAAATTGAGCTTATTTTATTAAATCATTAAATCATGCATAATAGCATGTAGTGATGCAACTAAACATTGCAGAAAAAGCAGACACTTAATGCATGACTCATGTGTGCAACAGGAAGCGCATATCGAGTCGTCATCATCATCATATTGGGGACTTCACAGAATCTGGTAATAATTCCACAGAAATCTGACATATGGCCATATTTGATAACTACTATATTTGAACATATCCACATGTTTGCAGTTACAATGGTTGACAATATATATGCACGTTTTTGTTATATTTTGAATTGTGTGGCATATGACATTTTATATATATGTATGTATGTATATATATATATATATATATATATATATATATATATATATATATATATATATATATACTTTCCAAATATGAACTTGTATGTCATATAATTCTATATATTAGAAATCTATATGGACCAGATCCATGTAGGCCCTCGAATGTCTGAGATTATATTTATTATTTTTTTACTTTTATATAATCCAGAATGGGGGGCAGCACAGTGGTAAGTGCTGTCACCTCACAGTAAGAAGGTCGCTAGTTAAAGCCTCTGCTGGGTCAGTTGGCATTTCTGTGTGGAGTTTGCATGTTCTCCCTGTGTTGTCGTGGGTTTCCTCCGGGTGCTCCAGTTTCCCCCACAGTCCAAACACATGCGCTATAGGGGAATTGATGAACTAAATTGGAACTACATCACTCTCGCACTCATACTGTAGTGTACCATACCAGTAATTGGTTGCTGCAAGAAGGGTACTGCATAATACATATGTTGGAATAGTTGGTGGTTCATTCTGCTGTGGTGACTCCTCATAATTGAACGATGATCATCTCCCTTGTTTATTTTTTCCCCAATTTCTATTTAAGAGAGATTTTCTTCAACACATTTCTAATCATAATGGTTTAATAACTCATCTCTAATAACTGATTTATTTTCTCTTTGCCATGATGACAGTAAATAATATTAGACTAGATATTCTTCAAGACACTTCTACACAGCTTAAAGTGACATTTAAAGGCTTATCTAGGGTAATTAGGTTAACTAGGCAGGTTAGGGTAATTAGGCAAGTTATTCTTTAACTTAAAATATAGCTTAAAGGGGCTAATAATATTGACCTTAAAATGGCGTTAAAAAAATAAAACAAAAAAAAATAAAACAAATAAAACTTTATCCAAAAGAAAAAAAATATCAGATATACTGTGAAAATTGTTTTGCTTTGTTAAACGTAATTTGGGAAATATTTAAAAAAGAAAAGAAAATCTGTGAGATATAGTGATATAACGAGAGAGAGAGAGAGAGCAAGACTATTGTCAAAAGTATATATAAAAACAGGAAATGGTGTGGTGTTGATTATAAAGGAGGCTGGCAGATCTAAATCTTCCTCATTTGTCTTCATGTGTCTTCAGGATCAGTTGATGAGCGGTCCTGCAGTGCGGTAGGTAATGACCAGATTATTCATATATTTTTTTGTGAAGAAGCGTACACTATCAGTCAACTGTTTGAGACCAATATGATTTTTAAGTGTCTTTAAAAGAAGCCTGTTTTGCCCTAAATCAACTTTAATATAAACTTTTAATAAAGAAAACATGAGCTACATTACATTTGTTTTATCTTGTAATAATATTTTCAAATTGTACATGATTTTCTAAAATTTTTGATCCAATAAATGCAGGTTTTTATGATCCTTTGAAAGTATTTTTGATTTAAGAGTATGTGAAATTTTTTTTTTTTTTTTAAACATCCAATAATAAACCTGTTGTATTATTGATATAGGTGTTGCCATGGTGAGGATGATGTCAGTCAGAATTGCTCTTCTTCCTCTGATCTTTCTTATGATTCACAGTGAGTGTCTGTTTTGTTTTCATTTGTCTTTCTGTGATATAAAAGTGGGTTGTTAATTTGTTACGGTTATTTAATTTAAATTATATACTTATATTAAAAACTGACAGTTAATCAGCATGTTGTGTCATCAATTTGTGTCAATAGTCTTTAATAAGTTGTTTCCTCAGCTGTTGAATTCTGCTTTTCTTCACTTTGATTAACAGATGTTGTTTGTGGTGATAATGATAATGATGATGATGATGATGATGATGATGATAATGATGATGATGACTGGTGTGTGAAGTACACTCCTGAACACATCTGTGCACTAAAATCCTCAACAGTGATAATGAGCTGCACTTATAAATACCCTAAAAGCCATAAGGTCAGGACAGCATTCTGGACCAAATACCCTCCAAAACAGGGTCAAGAGTATCCAGATCTGTCTGAGGACCCTGAATACAGTCAGAGGCTTCAGTATCTGGGAGATAAACAGCAGAACTGCCACCTCAGACTGAGTCATGTGACAAAGAAAGATGAACACCAGTATTATTTCAGATTCACTACTAATGTAACAGGAAAAATGTGGCTTGGTACTCCAGGAGTGCGTCTCTCTGTCACAGGTGACTCTCCTGAGGTTTCTCTCTTCTTGTGGTCATTATGTAGAATAATAATCAGTGTATGAGAGCAGCACTAGATATAATGTGTGTGTTGTGTTCAGATCTTCAGCTGGAGTCTCCTGAGAGAGTGACAGAGGGAGATTCAGTCCGTCTGACATGTAAAAGCAGCTGTAAACTGACTGACACACCAACATTCATCTGGTACAGAAACTCAGTGACATTGACTGGAAAAATTGGAAACAAACTCATCCTCAATCCTGTCAGAAGAGAAGATGCAGGCAGATATAGCTGTGGTGTAGATGGACACACACTCACATCACCTGAGGTCTATCTCAATGTCACCTGTGAGTACAGATTCTCATTATTTGAACAGCTCAAACTCTGTGAACATCCTCCAGTAGCTGAAGTGTGTAAATGCTGAAATGTTATTTTATGGCTAGCACATCAACATTTATATAAAAGACAGACATTTCCTCTTTCAACATACTATGCACTTGGTAAGTCGTAACGTGTGGTAAACTGTGGTTTCCGGGTCTAAGCCACTCCTCATTTTGTTTGAGAAAATAATCATGACTTCTTTTTATATATCACACTTTAAAGGTTCAGGACACACTGGAGAACTTTTTTTATATATTAACAGATGTGTGTGTGTTGAGCATCAGTTAAGACAATGTGAGCATCTGTCAGCTTTAATTGTGGGAAAACTGGATAATTGTGAGCTTTTGTCAGCTGATTTCAGCTTCCGGGTTTAAAATGATTTTTGGGGCGGGATCAAAATCGGCGACGTAGCGCAGAACTGCTAGTGCAATGATGACGCGTCGGTTTCTCATTATTATTCATAGCGGAGTTTTCTTATCCTATGAGAAGAGCCAGCTGCTTAATTATTCATGAGACCTGCCAGTGTCAAGCCCGAGCTGAGAGACACGGAAACCACGGCACAGTATTTAGCCGTTCATGAAGGCTCATATGCGTTTGTTTCCATGATCCACGGGGTTTGTTGCATGTTTTCCCCCGCGATCTTGTCCGGGCCGATCATACAGCAAAGTTGTGTGTGCTGCTAGCATTTTTGTCGGGAGAGCGGCACGAGAATTAGAGAATGGCGGACGCTGTCTTTTATCAGGAGTTCGTTCACATTCAGACACATCACTGTGCTGCTGTGTTTGCCTAAATCCTCCACATTACCAGCAGGGCTAACGGTTAAAATAGACAGGTCAGGAGACCTGCTGCACTGAGTCTGCTGGATACGGGGATTGAGGGAGAATCCTCATTTATAGTGTTTACATGAACACACTTATCTTTATAATGATATAAATTGTGGTTATGTGTATATGAAATTACAAATAACAAATGTAGCAGGACATTAAATCACTGTTCATTTCTTTGTATTTTAACTTTGTGAACTTTAAACTCATGCGTCTCCTCACGGTTTGTCTCATTTTGTGAGCTAACTGACAACAACAGTTGTTCGCTCACGTTCTCCCCTGCTGGCCACGCCCACTCCCGCCCGATGCTCGCGGAGCTCCGCCCATTAATCATGCATCTTTTGAAAAAATTCTCAAGTAGACTTTAACCGAAAGTGGGGGGTGTCATGGCTCTTTAAAGTGAACTCTTTAAAAAACCATAGTGTACACTACAGTCTCTGGACTTGCTACATCAGAGACACCAATATTTTCCCACTTTAAAAGGAGTCAATAACTTTCTAAACATTTGAAATTGGGTATTAATAGAAAGATTGCGATTATGATTTTCCAAAAAAATTACAGCACTCTGGGAACGTTTATTAGTACTACTTATTAAGCCTCAACATGTATGTTAGGGCGCTAACAAAGGCCAGCTAGTGAGTGCTGTGCAGGTAAACCTCACTCCTCTGACCTCTAAAGGTGTTCTAGTGACAGACCGACTCCCATGCGGAAGGTTGCCGGTTCAATTCCAGTTCGGAGCGGGTTTGGTTGGTGGTGTAGGACCAGCGGGGTTACACTTGGAGGTCTTAACAAGCAAATATATATTGGTCGGTGACTGTAAGAAGATCACTAGTTCGAGTCCCAGCTAAGTTGGCATTTCTGTGTGGAGTTTGCAATGTTCTCCTCGTCTTGGTGTGGGTTTACTCTGGGTGCTCCGGTTTCCTCCACAGTCCAATCACATTCGCTATAGGGGAATTGGGTAAACTAAGGCCCAATCCTAATTTTCCCCCTTAGCCCTTCCCCTCAACTCTGGCCCTCATTTTGCATGTTCCTGTGAAGAGGTAGGGATGTCCCAGTTCTCTTTAGCTTGAAGGCATAAGGCTAAGGGGAAGAGGTGGATAGCCCTTCGGACAGAGATTTTCAGGACCACACTTGAAACCACGGGGTAAGAAAATTTCCCACAACGGCAGGATAGCTGCATCCGGAAGTCAGGAGATCCACAAATTAGTAATTTTTTTTTGTCATTGTTACAAATTTTTCCAACAAACTAGCACATGTTTCAATATATTCATAACCGCGTTCGTGTTTTACCGCCATGCTTAAAAAAATGTTAAAATAAAAACAGCTACATTTTGAGATCTATAATCTCATTGTGAACACAATGGCTGCTCAACAGCGCTCAAATGTTATTGGGAAATGGAAGTTTTTAAAATATTAGTATCGATTGGTTCCAGTATCATGACAACACTACTCTCAACAACTTTAATTATGAAGTAAAACCACAACAAAAGGATCCATCTGAAGCTCCGCCTTTGGACTCATTAAACAATTGCGTCACTGGCCTTGCTCCACCCCCATGGCCATCAACCCCGCCCACAATCAGCACCACTACCAAGCTGACCAATCACTGCTCTTGAACTATGCGTCATCGATGAGAGGTGTGCGTCAGAGTCAGTGCTTTACAGTGTAACAGTGCAGTGTTATGTGTGCATATTTTGCAGTGGAATGTTGTGAAAGGAGTTTCCTTATTTAATGATTTTACAGAGGTCTATTATTCACAATTTTTTTAGATCCTCCAAAGAATGTCTCAGCCTCCCTCAATGGATCTGCTGTGATAATGTCTGGAGATTCAGTGACTCTGAGCTGCAGCAGTGACTCAAACCCTCCTGCTCTGAACTTCAGCTGGTATAAAGGAGAAACATTTGTAGGATCTGGAAGAATCTTCAATATCTCCAAGATCAGCTCTGATGACAGTGGAGAATACAAGTGTAGAGCCAGAAATAAACATGGAGAGAAATACTCTGATCCTGTGACTTTAGATGTCCAGTGTGAGTTTATGATCATCTACACATTACATTAAATTTCCAAACTTAACATTTTTTAATATGTAAAAAAATTTTATTTGACATTTTCAGATTCACCAAAGAGCATCTCAGTGTCCATCAATGGATCTGCTGAAATAGTGGAGGGAGATTCAGTGACTCTGAACTGCAGCAGCGACTCAAACCCTCCTGCAGAACTCAACTGGTTCAAAGGAAATAAATCTCTGAATTCTGGAAGACTCTTCAACATCTCCAAGATCAGCTCTGATGACAGTGGAGAATACAAGTGTAAAGCCAAAAATGCACATGGAGTGAAATACTCTGATCCCGTGACTTTAGATGTCCAGTGTGAGTTAATGACAGTTCAGTATTGTGACTGATTCACTGAGTGAGCATGTATTTTGTGAACAGGCCTTATGTTGGTCTTACAGATTATGGTGCCAGTTGGTTATACAAATTGGAAATCAGCCCAGATCACCAATCCAGATTATTTTTATTGATCATTAATAAGATCAAATTTAATTAATGTAATTCATGTCAAAAACAAAATGTCATCAATGTACTATTAAGTAAACGTTTAGAAATCACCCTAACACGAAGAGTCAGCTTCAACGCTTCCCAATCACTTTGAATGGGTGATGTCAGGCATTGTGGAACAGCGTTAGCCAATGAAATTACTCAGCAATCGGCCACTGTGTGAGCTAGTGTGTTTGCATACAACAATCTGATTGGCTGAGGCTTCCGTCGGCGCTTGAAAAGTTGAACAAGTCCCAACTTCTGCAGCGAGCATTGCCTCTAAAGTGGCGCCGACGGAAGCCTCAGCCAATCAGATTGCTGTATGCAAACACACTAGCTCACACAGTGGCCGATTGCTGACTAATTTCATCGGCTAACGCTGCTTTGAAGATCGCGTCAGCCCCAACTTCAGACACGCCCTCTGTCAAGCGTTGAGGCTGAAGCGCCGTATGAATGGGGCATAACACTTTTAAATAACAATTCATGCTAGGGTATATGCAGAGCTAGTGTTTTTCCCATACTGATAAACTTCCTGTTATTGTGAGTTTTTTCCATTTTATACAGTCCTTTTACAGCATCGATGTCGTAATGTAATTTAAACACAATCGGTTAAAAAGACTTTGGCATTTATTTAGCTTTTCAAGCATAAAATGAAAAAAAAAAGCCATTTGCTCGCACTCACCCGTCAGAATCGGCAGGCTAGCGTAGAAGCTCCATTGAATATAAAGGGGTAAAAGAAATGCTTATATTATAAAGACATGGCGGGGGGAAATGTAATGTTAATGCAGTGCTTCTTGTACAATCTGAGACCCGCTTTATATCGGATATCACTCAGCCATTGGAGATCGCTGATTTTTAAAGAAAACAGACCTTAAACATGCAGATTTTGCATTGGCAAACAGATTAACCCTGGTAACTGGCAAATTAATAGTCCTATTAGCATACTTCGGCGTATACCCTATTAAGTTCTGGCTTATCATCTGCCTATAATTACAATATTATTTGTTTTTAGTAGTTGTAAAGTATTGTTTTTGCTACATCCCCAATCCTACCCAAAACCTAAACCTAACTTCCACCTTGCAAACTACTAACAAGCAGCTAATTAACAGTTTATTGAGCTACTAGCCTTAGTTAATGGTTTGTTGCTAGCATGAATTGTGACTTAAAATGAAGTGTTACCAAAAATACTGTGTAATATGCTAATAATTTTAGTTAACGAACAGAAATTCAAGTAATAGCATATCAATGAATGATCTTCTTTTGCTTAACTCAAGTGCATAGAGCTGGCAGAATAATAGACTGTTTGTTTGATTTTCTGTAACCAACGTGTCTGATTTCTGTAGATTCAGTACATCGGGATTATTTCCTGTATGCCGTGTTTGTGATCGCAGTCGCATGTGTAGTTTTACTTCTCATCTGCATTGTCCTGTTCATAAGGTGAGGTGTTTGGTTTAAATCAGTGTTTCTCAACCACGTTCCTGGAGGAGCACCAGCACTGCACATTTTCATGTCTCTTTAATCAAACACACCTGATTCAGATCATCAGCTCATTAGCAGAGACTGAAAGACCTGTAATGGGTGTGACAGACAAACGAGTCATCCAATACATGGAGTGCTGGTGGTCCTCCAGGAACGTGGTTGAGAAACACTGGTGTAAATAACTTAGATTAATTCATCATTTAATATCGATGTGTGTTTACATGTTCATCCCTGTGCTGCAGGCAGAGAAAAAAGGCTGGAGTCTCAAACAACAGACAGAATCAGGTCAGAAGATTTAATAACAGCTTCATTATGTTGTTCTTTTATTGTTTTAGTTTCTGATTTCTCATGTTGATCATGCTGGATTCATCATCAGAGTTTGGCTCATGCAGGTGATTTTAATTTTAATTGACTTTTTTTTCCAGGTTCAAGATCCTAGCAGACACGTCTATGTAAATGACTCATTTGTGAACGTTTCACCCAAGAAAACAGATGGAGGACAAACCCCTCAACCCACAGATCCTGAGACCGTTGAGTACGCAACCATACAGGAAAACCAGCAACTCCAGCCTGATTCTGCTCTCAGGTGAGAAACTAAGTGACTTAAAACACATTCGCTTTACATCAGGGGTTCTCAACCTTTGAAACGAAAGCCCACCTGTCTGGCATTTTCCCTAAAATGTTTGTCTGCACAAAAATGTGGATGCGGATCTCAGGCACGTGCACACATAGGGCTCAACCTGTGCAGTGCACATGCCCTTTTTAGTCTTGGATAGAAAGTGCCCTTCCAAAATGATCTGAAGTGCCCCAGCGACTTATTAGATCGATTATTAGATTTGCTAGGAATATTTATGAATGTCTCCAAAACCCTCAGAGCAGTATTAATGCGTCCTGAAGTAAAGTGAAACGGCTATACGTCGGGTTTGCTGGCCTCACGCATCACGCACCTGTCTGTCAGTCAGTCAGCACGTCACCTTGAAGGTTTAAACAAATGACGCACAGCACTACTACGGTTACAGAAAAGTTTGCGCTGTTATAATACACTTACCTTTAATACAACTTGGTGCGATTATAACCCGCTATTAAAAATATATTGTTTTGAATTAGAAGCTGTAATGTAGCCGTGGTGGGATGAATTTTGGCATGGCACCCCACCATGGAAGAACGAATGTAGCGGAAACCATGTAGTAAATACTAGGGGTGTCACGATTTCGATTTTTAATCGAAATCGATCAAAATTTTGATGGCTACTTTTACTGTACTATAATATGCATACAGTATAAAGAAATATCAGCCGATATATTGTTATCTGTATTTTTTAATCCCTGATATTAGCATCGCCCATGAAAACCCATATAACTCTGGTTTTAATTGTCTTTAACTGGTCATTAATATTTGATTTTTGCTCCACAGATCTGGTGCTGTGGTGAATAATGCGGTGTTTTACAGCATGATCAAAGCTCCGGGATCATAAAGTGGATTGAAAGTGAAGCGTAATGACATTTACAGCAGCTTTGAGTTAGATTATTATAATGAATTAACCATGTCAAGTCACATCAGGAACAGTCCACTCAACGTTATTAACTTCTCACTGTTGACAGTCTTTAGCAAGTTGTGGTCAGATTTAGCAACACTGCAGACTAGAAGCATTTCTTTGTGGTTATTTACATCAGTGTGTCTTCGTAGACTGTGGTTCAGTGTGTCAGAGAAGGAAATTACAGCATCTACTTTTTTACTTGCTTTGCTGATTTCTGTTAATAGCTTGCTTTGTAATGTTTTCCAAAGATTTGAGAAATTTTCATGAATCACTTCAGTAATAGTGTTATTTTGCAATCATGTGCCTTAGTTTCTCTCTTTCTCTCTCTCTCTGTCAAAATATGGACAAAACCTGCTGCAGCATTTACAGAGTAAAGGTTGCAGCTAGAAGAGATACAGCTGCAGCCGGAGGTTTAGGAGAATTATTTATATATATTTTTTAAATTACCCATGTATTATATTTTATTAACGTTTACCCCTATCCCAACCCTAAACCCAACTATCACAGAAATGTAAAAACAGCAATTATACCAAGCATTGTTGATATTATTATATATTAACTATTATAATGTATTTTCCAGTGATGGGTTGTAGCTGGAAGGGCATCCGCTGCTCAAAACATACGCTGGATAAGTTGGCGGTTCATTCCACTGTGGCGACCCTAGATTAATAAAGGGACTAAGCTGAAAAGAAAATGAATAAATGAATTATATTGTATTTTATTACACATGGCCCCATGTTAACCCTAAACATAACTCAATGTAATGTAAAAATATGAATAATTATTGTAGTGTCACAAAATGTATGCTATAGTGATGCGAGTATCTGCAGCTGTATCTCTTTTAGGCTTTACCAGTAAAATTGGGCTGATGCATTTATTTTTAAAAATTAACCATCATTGGATTTTTCCATGTTTCACCCAAAATTGTGTGTAAATAAGCCAGCATTTCTTAGAGTATATAAATACAGTGTGCGCATGCCTCATATGTTGATGTGTTTTAATATTGTGTAATAAAACATTTATTGTTAAAAATTCTTGTTATTTATTTCTGACATTAGAAACAGGGCTTCTGCAGGTTTCACCATTTCAAATTTAGGAGCTTTTTGAGACCATGAAGAATTAAATTTCTGATTTATATAAGGCTAAACGCTGAGGATTTTAAAAAATGGCCCAGCAGAAACAAATATACTTTAAAAAAATCTAACTTTGAGTTATTTCTTAGCCACATATATTAAATGTGTTAAAACACACAAAACACAAATAATATTAGTTGTGAATATAGTTTTGCTTATTTAAGTTTATCGATATGTATTGTTGGTGATTGGATGTGTGGATCGATTGGATAGCTTTATATTAACAAATTTAAGACCCGTTTATAATGTTTTAAGAACTACAAGACAATATTTAATTGATTTTAAAACCTTTTAAGGCCTAAAATGTTGTTTATGAAATGTAAGAGCCTGTGAATACCCTGTAGACGTGGATCGTCACATCAGAATCACAGTGACAGTGAATTTTTTGAATGCTGGATTTGTGAATCGCTTTGGCCTATAAACACCTTGATAATCTTGGCAGTAACCTACAGTTTACCTCATCAACGTCGATGACGCCGTGTTGAGACTCTCCTCGTGTTTCTGTACATGTAGTAAACCTGTAAAACACTGGAGATAATTTGTTCACAAGACATTTCTGCCTGTAATGTGGTCGCGCGACCTGAAGGGAGAGAAACTCGACTGCGCATGTGCAGTAACGGACCAATCGCGCGCATTATGAAGATGAATTCACTAGTTATAATTTTGTTTCAGATGTAATCAAGATTTAGTTTATTTATTTTAAAGTTGACCACAAAGGAAGATAATATAAAAGAAAAAAAAAACGCTAGCCATGTATTTTATCTTTATCCCTGATGCCAAGTTAGGGGAAATATTTCAAATATTGTTTTTAGTTATCGCTATTAAAGCACTTTGGTAACATTTTTATGTAGTATTAACAGACCAGGCGTTATCTGTCTTGTCCCAGATCGGGATGGATAAAAATAACTGACACCACAGTGATGATCATTACCCAAGTTGTCCACTAGGGCGCGCTGTTAGCCTGTTCTCTCAACTTTTCTCCAGTTTTCGGTCATTAGTGGTGTTTCCACTATATATTCCCTCTCTCGTTCCCTAAACCCAACACTCACAAGAAACAATCTGCATTTGTACATTTTCAAAATACTTCATTATCTGTGATTTATGAGCAAAAGAAGTCTCCACAGGGTCAAACATGACTCATGTACTGTAGGCTATAGGCTACTCCTGTGGACATTAGCTCAGTAAAATGTAAAGATATGTGCTTTACTCCCCTGCTGAATAAAACATAAACAATATGATTTAAACTATCACAGAAGACTTCTTTGATAATATTGAAAACGATGTAGAGTAGTAGCCTACAGTAGTTTGTTGTTCTGAACATTTCACAGATTATTTCAGGTCAGGGTTTATAAAAATATTAGAAAATATTTATAAAAATGCATTAGAAAAGCACATTACTAGTGTACATCTCAAGACAAAACAATATCAAGTATTTATTTAAAGACAAATCACTTTAATTATTTACCGATAATATATTAGACATTTAATGTAGTCTGCATGGTGGATGATCCCAGCTGGATTGAGAAAGTCCTCCAGGCAGCATGAGAGTCTTGCAGCTACCGTGGGGCCGTCTGGATAAAATGAAGGAGAGCTGTATGTCATCAGCATAGCAGTGATGAGAGAAACCATGCGATTGGATGATGGCTCTCAGTGATGTGGTGTTAATAGAGAATAGTAGGGGACCCAGAACAGATCCCTGAGGTACTCCAGAGCATACCTGTCAACATTGGGATGTGAAAATAAGGGATATTCCCATAACCTTTTATGCTCATTCAGGACAAAATTAGTTGTGTTTAAAAGAAAACCCACCAACATTGACATCTTTAGATGTTATTATTATTAAATACTTCAAATCGTGTGTACAGAATCCATTCGAGAAACAGCGTCTATTTATCACTATGTAGCGCGTTAGCTGACAGTCACGCACTGCTACATGACTGTTTTGAGGATGGCATATAAGGGGCAACTGCATTTATTTTAAAGAGTTTTAATGCCTAAATACAGCGAATGCACATAACATATTTCAGGCACGTGCACACATAGGGATCAACCTGTGCAGTGCACATGCCCTTTTTAGTCTTGGATAGAAAGTGCCCTTCCAAAATTGATCAGAGGTCAAACACTCAATGGACAGACGGCTGCTTCTCAAGGCTGATTTATACTTCTGCGTCAAACACCGGCGTACGCTACGGCGCTGACGCATAGCCCTTCGCCGTGGCCATCGCCGTCGCTGACGTGCACCTCTCAAAAAATTTAACTACACGTCGCAACGACGCGTAGCGTAAGCTCTGTGATTGGTCGGCTTGGTAGCGCTGACGAGTCTGGGCGGGACCGAGAGCCGCGCGAATGGCGCGACGCCGCGCGAGCAATTGTTTACAAGTGTGGAGTACCGTGAAGGAGCTCCGGATGGAAAGTTTTGTTTTGTGTTTACCTCATAGTTAAAGTTGTTGCACGTTCGCCGGTTCCTGCCTCAAAATGAGCGAGTTTGAGCTACTTGTACATCCCGGAAGTGTTCAGGAAATGCAAAAAAGCAGCGAAGAAACTCGACACAGAGGAACATTTACACCTCACTGCAAACTAGCGTTTCAGAAGTGTTAATGCAGAACGACAGAGACAGCGCAGAAGTATAAATGCACAGCCACGCGCGTTGCCTGCGCCGTGGGTTACGCCGGTCACCTGACGCAGAAGTATAAACCAGGCTTGCACTCAGGGCTGTTTATGCTAATGAGGGAGAGATGGGCACTAGTGGGCGGGGCTTTCCCCCTCTGATGACACGTAGAAAGGGAGAATGTCAATCAAAGTGTTTCTGCAGACTGATTTGATCAAGTCTGATAGTATAAAATAGAAATAATTTACTTTACCATCAGAGGCTGGAGATATTCACGCACTCCTGACACACAACTGTGTTTAAACCCC